TCAAATAAAACTCCCATTTTTATGTAAGGTTTAGCATGGCGTGGCAAGGGACCAAGCAGATTTCCTCGGCAACATGCAGGTGATGGGGCAAGCAGTACAGTCTCAGTTTTATTGTCATTTGGTTTGAGAAAGTTGTGTGACATTCATTGTTTAATATCTAAGTAGTCTACTAAGTGTCTACTAAAACCTTATAAGGAACCAAGAAAAATTGTAATCGTCATACATCATGTCTAAGGAAGCTATGATGAGATAATGACGGATCCTAAACAACATAATCAGAAGCATTCAGACTACGTAAGCATGTTTTATGTTGAACCTCTTTTCAAAGTGTTCTTAATTTGTCCTCTTCCGAGTGCTGTTTGTGTACCTTAACTTATTCACATGTTTTAATATGTGTCGAAATGTTTGAAATAAATAATTGTTTGAAAACTTTGGGACTAATTTAATTAGTCCCAGAGATATATTTTAAAGTAGCTTCAATGAAATTAAGCTTCTTTTGCTATTTAGCTTGTACTGTAACCTGCTACATTTCTCTGATGTCTAACTTTTCTGTAGCTCAGCTGTATTTGTAGAAGAATAACTAGTAAATGAGCTTATTACATTTTTTAAGTAGCTTTCCCAACACTGAATGCACCCTGAATGGGATGCTGGTATTGTACTAAACCATTATTTTGTATTTTTTTAATGCATGCCTCATTAATTTTAAAATGAGTGTAAAATTAATGACTGGTGAATTACCTTTTCATTCTTTGTTGTACTATTCGATAAAACTGGCAATCAAAGCCAGAAAAAAATCATATTACTTCCTTATAAGATTCATAATTTTCACTGACTCATTCTCTTGGGTAAGATATGAATTGCAGAAAATCAGACATCTTTCTATCTAGAAAACTGTGTTGCATAAAATGCGACGCTGACTACAATGACTTTTCTGTGTCCCTGGTGAAAACTGGTGCACACTGCTGTAAATATATTAACAATAGACACAATGTAATGGCTGGGAAAGGACAGGGACCAGGGACTCCAAATTTACTTCCAAAGTCGCGGTCCACAGATGTGCAATCAGTCAGAAACGTGGGAGAAGCAAAGACAAGCAAATTCAAATCATATACCCTATATGGACAAAAGTATTGGAACACCTGCAGTGGGTTGCACCAGCTTAGCGTAAATTCTCCCAAAGTCGGGTGTAAAGTATACCTTAAATCTTATGTTGAAACGTTCATTGTCGGTTGCATCACTGCTACTTAAGTTAGATCATAGTTAGTAATTACTAAATAAAAATATTGTTACACAGAATGTTTTCACCGTGGACAACCAATCAATATCAGTCTGTGCGTTTACATGCACAGCCAACTTGAGCTACAGTTATAGCTCGACTACGTCATTTAATACTTGTCCCAGTATACATACGTGATAAGTAACTGCGTCAATAAAACTTTCACACTATCACGGTTAAACTTCACAGTTAACTCGCGGTTTACTTAGAGGGGGTCCATACGGATCAGCTAACATTATAACATTACTATGTTTATCAAATTTGTAAACAGACATTTAGTTTAGACATTTACTTGACAGTGGATCTGTGAATACACACTCAGTGAATACAAACAGGGTTCACTCGAAACAACGGCCGTGCAACGTATTTCTCTAGCTTGCCATTGGGCAATTTGGGCCAAGAATCATATCTTGATATTTTTTTAGCTGAATGGCGATATATGATATATATCTCGATATTTTTTCCTTGACGTAATAACAAATACAAAAAACTCCAAGTCAGAGCCAAATGTCCCCAATGTCACACAGACACTTTTATTAACAGACAGCTGTACATGTGCATGAAAAAATGGCTCAGAAATAAACTAGTGGCATCTAGTTAGCTTTCCTCCTGTCTGTGTCTTTCTCCATTTTGTCACTGCATGCAGGACTTGAGAGTGAAGGGGAGGGGCAGGTTGTGTTTGGAGAGGGAGAGGGGCGGGGCAAGGCGCAGTTGTGCTAGAGACAGATAGGGAGAGGAGAAATAGGCAAATTGGCGGTGTTATAATATTTCATACTACCTATCCAAACATACCATCTTTAGGTACTGCGCATGTGCTCAACAAAATCACGTCCATTTTCTCCTGCTTGAAGAACCGGCGATCAATCTATTCTACCTTCCTTTGGAGTTACAGCTGAGTGTTGCGTAATTAATCTTATTTGTGCGTTTGTCAACGTTCATACATTTGACATATTTTATTAAATACGTTTATCAGACTTCACCATCAGATATATGTCATATTACCTGACATGAGTTCTGTAGGGTATATAATGTGTCAGTATTGCTCACATATTTATGACAGCACATCCTTATGAAGTATTTTATCCATCCATCCATCCATTATCTTCCACTTATCCGAGGTCGGGTTGCGGGGGCAGCAGTCTCAGCAGGGAAACCCAGACTTCTTCCAGCTCCTCCGGGGAAATCCCGAGGCGTTTCCAGGCCAGCCGAGAGACATAGTCCCTCCAGCGTGTCCTGGGTCTTCCCCGGGGCATCCTCCCAGTGGGACATGCCCGGAACACCTCACCAGGGAGGCGTCCAGGAGGCATCCTAAGCAGATGCCCGAGCCACCTCATCTGGCTCCTCTCGATGCGGAGGAACAGCGGCTTTACTCTGAGTCCCTCCCGAATGACCGAGCTCCTCACCCTATCTCTAAGGGAGAGCCCAGCCACCCTGCGGAGGAAACTCATTTCGGCCACTTGCACTCACGATCTCGTTCTTTCGGTCACTACCCACAGCTCGTGACCATAGGTGAGGGTAGGAACGTAGATCGACTGGTAAATTGAGAGCTTTGCCTTTTGGCTCATCTCCTTCTTCACCATGACAGACCGATGCAGCGCCCGCATCACTGCTGACGCCGCACCGATCCACCTGTCGATCTCCCGCTCCATCCTTCCCTCTCTCGTGAACAAGACCCCGAGATACTTAAACTCCTCCACTTGGGGGAGGACCCCCTCCCCGACTTGGAGAGAGCATTCTACCCCCTGAGGACCATGGTCTCGGATTTGGAGGGAGAACCACATAACCTGCAGAAAGCAGAGACCTAATCCTGAGGTCACCAATCCGGACACCCTCAACACCCTGCGCCTAGAAATTCTGTCCATAAAAACTATGAACAGAAGCGGTGACAAAGGGCAGCCCTGATGGAGTCCAACCTTCACTGGAAACGAGTCCGACTTATTACCACCCATGCGGACCAAACTCTGACACCGGTCATACAGGGACCGAACAGCCCTTATAAGGAAGCCCGGTACCCCATACTCCCGGAGCACCCCCAACAGGACTCCCCAAGGGACACGGTTGAACTGGTTGGGCAAACTTCCATGAACCCTGCAAGACCCTGCTGAGAGTATAGAGCTGGTCCACTGTTCCGCGGCCAGGGCGAAAACCACACAGCTCCTCCTGAATCCGAGGTTTGACAAACCAACTGACCCTCCTCTCCAGGACCCCCGAACAGACCTTATCAGGGAGGCTGAGGAGTGTGATCCCCCTATAGCTGGAACACACCCTCTGGTCCCTGCAACATCCAGAGCCTTGAGGAACTCCGGGCGGATCTCATCCACCCCCGGGGCCCGGCCACCGAGGAGCTTTTTAACCACCTCAGTGACCTGAGTCCCCAGACTCTGCTTCCTCATTGGAAGGCGTGTCGGTGGGATTGAGGAGGTCTTCGAAGTATTCCATCCGCCGACCCAAAACGTCCCGAGCTGTGGTCAGCAGCGCCCCATCCCCACCATAAACAGTGTTGATGCTGCACCCTGAGCCACCGCCGTGTTCTTTTAAAAAGTTACTTATTTATTATTTCTTGGACCATCCGCTTTCATTTTCGGCCCATAAAAATGAAGGAAGCATTTTTCGGTAGGGTAGCATTAACAGATCAACAGATATATCTGTCCGGACATGGCTGGATGGATGCGTGACACACATCGCAATGGTCTTTATGTCTTTTAATTAGCATCACTGCCGTAGAAACCTTTTTTCTTCAAAGGACGAAGCCATCAAGGGTTTAATTTAGTCAGGGTTTCTGAGTAGTAAGATATCGACTATACTTTATGAATGGCTGTAAAAACGTTGTAATAGCCATGGGATTTTATTCTTGATTTTGCGATTTCTCCATCACATGGTATTCCCCACCAGGACATGCATACTGATGGATGCAAAGGCTTATTTCGGACCCTTGTGAACTCCCAGATACTGGCGGTTGGGGTCGAGGCCCAAGTAGAGGCCCAAGGATTTGTTTAGTCAAATGAGGCATTAGGCGAAATGCTTCCTTCGTGCATAACATTCTTCCAATGCTGGCCCAGCTTCTACAATTATTTGCAACTAAGAGAGAGGTGTGACAGGATGCTCAAGTGCATTACACACCAGGAACACACTGCGCTTACTATAATGCATGGACACATCTGGACAGATATGTTGTGTGATTATGATGCATTTAATAATTGTGCATGCAAGTTATACTCTATGGACTCGTTTTCAGTATGAAACGCTACGCTATTGTCTGACAATGTTTAGCAAAATCAGAACTGTGCATTTCATCTTTTCTAAATTATCGTTAGTACTATGTTCATCATACCTTACAGAAAAAAATTTATCTGTAAACACTATATTTTATTTGAATGTTCATTAATTTTTGTTCTTGCTGTTACAGCCCAGTCTAAGGTTGGGCCATACAGAGTGGGATGAAGGAAGGACAGACATACAGCACAGAATACAATCCAGGTAACCCTTGCTTTGTCTCTCTATTAGCATTTCATCAAGGACGATATGAGTACTCCATCTGTTTGAGTTGTGTTTTTATTCTCTTCCTTCTTCCCTCCAGTGCTGGCAGATCTGGTTAGACCAGTCTTGTTAGATTTCTGCAAAACTGGAAAAGCCAGGGTAGTGAAAAGGGTGCCCAGCCAGAACCACATGTTTATGTGTTTTGGAAGAGATCGCTGCTCCAACCAGTTTCGCCAGAAGTTAGGTGGGACAGAGGGTGTGGGTTGCTTCCCTTTTTCACCTCTCTCTCTCTTTCTCTCTCTTGCTATACCTAGTGTCTGTCTTTCTCTTGACTTCCGCCCTGAAGCTACAGGAGCCGTGGATTTGCAGAAGCCCAGAAGGCGACAGACCCCAGATTCGAGCTCGGTAAGTGTGCTGTCCTCGATGCCTTGTACCGGCCAGCACTGGATCTGTGGCGGAGAGTGCTTTTCAGATGGGGTGATGAGCCAGAAGGAGGTGAACGGTGAATAACTGATTCATCTGTAGAAGGGGGAAGTTAATGATCTGCAACTTTAAAAGTAACTTGTTACCAGTAACTTTTTTAAGGCAAAGAAGTTGTATTTAGTTCATAGTTAAGATGATACCAACTCGAAGGTGACAGTCTTAAGCTACATGTAACTATGATACACCAGAATGACAGAAGATGGAGGACATGTCCTTAGTGACCCTGTCATTAACCAGTTGTCTCCCTAATGTATGCTTAACCATGGTGTTTTTCGATACTCTGTGTTGACATACTTGATGGTTTCTTGACAGAATGTTTTAACACTTTTTCAATGCACAGGGAGCTCTGTATAGTCCACAAGAGGTAACCATATTGACAGATCTCAGTTTGGCTGCCCTAGCCCCCAGCTGAGTGGATGCGTTGTCTAGGGTCCCGCACAGTGCACGGGGGCAGGCTGCAGAGAAAGTGACCTGTGACATGAGCTTGATCTTGGAGTCCGATGATTGATACTTTTTTGTGCACCGTGAAACCTCACGGAGCATTGTAGGCGTGTTGTGACAGTGCACTCTTCATGTGACTAGTTTGTTTCTGCTTGTTTTCCCACACTCATGTTAGGATACCTGGCACGTATACTTTAGTCTCCCCAACCCAGCACTTCCAAACGCATCATGGAAGAAGTCACCTTGGACTTCAGTTGACGACTGGATAACGAATGACAGGGTTGCTGATGTTTCACCTAAATTTTTGAATAGCCAATCTGTGCCGTATCAGCATGCCTCCTGCATTATTTGGTTATCCTAGTTTGTATGGGTTAATGAACATATTGCACCAGATTAGCGATGCCTGTTTTCATTATTTTCCTGTTACACTGATACCTGAGCTGCCTGTGCAAACGGAAGTATGGATTCCGATTTCTTTGGCAATCCGTGTGTCAAAGTTTAGCTTGTGTGGCTTACTCTTGTACTATTGCTACAAGTATTTATCGTAAGGACAGCACAAACCTCAATGGCAACACTCCCCATTTATCTTCTAAGAGTTTGGGGGGGGGGGGAGAAGTCCACTGCTGCTTTAAAGGGTCTTTCTGTAATTCGTTGTGAACATCAGAGGGGGGGGGGGTGTCCCCAATATCCACAATGTCTAACACATCATGGGGCCATAGTTTTATGTCTTTATACCTTTTCCTTTATACCTTGTCAGTATCTGGTTACCTGTCTCCCGGTGAGTGCCAGTGAAATGCTGCTGTGTCCTTGTTCTCTAAAGATACCTACACTTCTCTCCAGTGACAGAGCTGGATAAATCAAAAAATAATTAAAATCCACGACTACAGTTCCTCTTATTCAGCCACAGCTCCATCCACAGCACCTTCCATCGGATGTTGTAACTTGTTCTAACTGGCTGCCTAACTGTCTACAGTCTGTCAGTCAGGCCTCAGGGTCCTAGACGAGCTGGAAGGTTGAAGAACAGGAGCGGGTTAGGGCACAAACATGCCATCTCTTGCTCTGCTCTCCTGCTACAGACTGCTAACATATCCCAACTTGCTGGAGGAGAACACCTCACGTAAAAATGCTTGGTGGCCGGATCCCATTGACGCCATTAACCTTGTGATACATGACCTCTCCATAACTGAGAAGCCCCACATTGCATACAAATAGCTTTTTTCTACATCAATCATCATTCACAAAGTTTCTTATGGTTTCGTGTTACAGAAGTACTTTCAGCAGGTTGTTGTGCTATTAATCTGGACTCATGGCATTGGTGTAGTGGCTGCTATAAAGCATTGTGCAAAGATTTACAAAAGGTGTGCCATAACCATGTGATTTTTCTCTTGTTCTTCAGTGGCAAGTCAGGTGACTAAGCCATGCCACCTATGAATTAAGTCTAGTCAGAAAAATATTGCATTGCATGCAGAAATCAGCACCCTCTGTGCTGCGTCTGGTGAAATGACTGTAGTATCGTATAATAGTATGTTTTGTTTCTTGTTTTGTGTTCCGCATATGTCTAAATTCATGCAGCGTGGGAAGAGATTGAGAGTTTGAAAGTCTGCTCATTGGCCTGAATGCCCACATGCACACACACACAAATAAGTTATGCCCAAGGCACCTACCTTGAAAATCTTGTAAAGCCAGTTTCAGTCATTCTCAATATCTGAAACGTTTATCCAGTGATTTGCACGCACAAATTCGACCAGAATACTCCTGTATTCCACAGACTCTTCTGTCCGCCTTGTGCCAGTCAGAGGAGATGGTCTTGGTGCCCTGGTAGCCATAAAGGAGCACTCGGACATGACTCAGGAGAACTTTAATGAGCTTCTGCACAGGCTAAAGGTTCTTCATGAGAGAGAGCTTGAAGGTGAGTGACACATGAAACCATTGCTCTGCACTGAGGCATAGCACCTGAAGTGCTCTATGTTAAGCCTGATTGCAGCTTTTCTCTATCTCTTATTGTGTTTGCCGATTCATTAAGCATCAAAACTTTCAGTCAGATGGTGCCTAACATGATATGAATACTCAAAGATGATTGTTTATGGGAAAATATTTTATTCACTGTTACTGTTATTGTGTATATATAATAATATATAATATATATATGTAATAAACATTATAACAACATAATAACAGCAATAATTTAAAATAACACATGAGGTTGGCATAAAGTTTAGCATAACACAGAATTACAAATATATGTACAAATATTCAAAAATTACTATAAATTTTTTTAACTAAGATATAAAAAAATAAAATGAAATTATTTCCTGTTCTCTAGGATGGCAGGAAAAAGTGTTGGAGCTGACCAATCAGAAATGCTGGTGAGAGTTGATGTCATGATTCACAATTCAAGCTAATACCCATTGCTGTTGTTGTTGCAATAATAGACATTATGGTAATATGCATGGGTGGGGACTGGCAAGGAAGATGAAAATAATTACCAGTTCTGTACCTCTAAGCAGCGATACAAAGAGGATGGAAGAACTGTTCAACAAGAACCAGCAGTTACGAGAGCAACAGCGGGTCCTAACTGAAAACATTAAACAACTAGAGAATAGGTGTGTGTATGTCTGATAATGATAGTTTATAACCATGAATACAGTCACAATCGATAGGAACGTGCTGTTACTCACTTCATGTATCAATTCGTGCAAGCCTTTTGTTCCATGTGACCCAACTTGACCTCTATGTATGTTCTCTGCTATTCTTAGACTGCGTGCAGGTCTGTGTGACCGGTGCACAGTCACACAGGATGTAGCCAAGCGGAAGCAGCAGGAGTACGAGAGCTCTCAAATTCAGAGCCTCCAACATATCACTGTCCTCGGTATTTCCTGCAACCATATCTGTCACTCGCCGCTCATCCTGCACCAATCTTTTGAGGGTTATAGTGGGCTCACATTGTTGTAGTGTACTTTCATTGATTGGAGGGCAAGTCATACACTCTTCAAGCACTGGGGAACAATTATCTACTGTTTCAGAAATGTGGGTGGGTAACTGGCTACAACCGACCAACAATAGTGAATGCTAGGTGGCCTGCAACTGATGTGAATGGATCTTTATGATTTACTTTATGAATCAGCATACTGCTGGGGTAATGACTCATATTTGGGGTTTTGACCTAAAAAAGGGTACTAAATCATTTTAATGATGCAAATGACAACTTATAAATCAGAGGCTCTTATCTCAAGAAATTCATCATACATTATATAACTGAATAGGTTTCTTCATTTGGAAGCAATCATAACCCAATGTGCATAAAACAGATCAATCAGCTTTAGATGATCCCAGAAGCATTTGAATAAGTCCTAGAGCTGAAGAAATTACCTTTTTACTTGTTGACTCCTTTTTGAACAATGAGTAGAATGTACCTGCATTTTGCAGACTCGATTTCAGCATTTTTTATGTGATTTTAGTCTCTCTGTGCTGAAAGGGGGTCATACTGGATATTCTGTAGGTTGTTTTAAGCACTGATATCTAGTGAATGTTACCTGGATGACAGCTTAGCTGCCACAATTTTAAAACTCTACAAAATAGATGCAATTACATGCAGACACATCAAAAATGTAGAGGCAAACATCAGAGGCTAATTGTATGTCATGTGATAGTAGATGTCACCCTGTCGAAATGTTACTGTTGTGGAATTGCAGTCCAGCATGGAATGTGGTTTCTTATCACAAAGACATTCTTGTTCTTCTTATGACCTTCAACTCTCACGAATTAGCTAGTACTTAGTAGAGGTTACTGAGGAACGCCATTTTATCATTCCTCAATGTTTGCAGCAAAGATGTAATTTTTAACCTAGCTTTGCATGTTAAATGTATAGCTAGATTTTGCAAGGCATTGCACGAAGGGTTGATGCTACACTTGTTAAACAGGTATGACCTGAAGGGACAGAAATTATTAAGCGCATGAACAATTATAATGAAATAACAACAGGATGATTTGGATCATTAGAAGGGATCTGAGTCAGAATGACCCACAACGTCACCTTTGCATATAAAGTATATTAGAGCAGTAGTACTCAACCTTTTTTGCGCCGCAACCCAATTTTTACCATGCTAACTCAGTTGCAACCTTATATAAACATAAGTTTAAATTCACACTATGATCAAGCACGCAGTGGTCTCTGCAATTTACACCAATCAATGTCTATAGCATAAATCAGATTGGATGGGCCAGTAAATTTTAAATTAAGCACCTGCGGTTTGGCTTCTTGGATTGGTTGAGTGTTCATTAGTTTTGCGCTAAGCATTTGCAGACCCATGACCCATTTATACAGGTTAATTCTAGGATTGTGGCTGGGAAATCTGATCGTGGATCAGCATAGGAGCATGCTTCCATTTCCAACTATGCTTCACGACCCTTTCAGAACTTGCCATGACCCAATTTTGGGTAATGACCCATGGGTTGGGAATCGCTGTATTAGACATTCTAAACACTATATCTTCAAGTTACCTCCATGAACAAACACTAGTTGTATTTTTACTGAAAATCTAGTAAGGGTGAATGATCTGTTAAAATGAAAACTGAAATGGCTCAAATTGACCCACAACATTCCGGAATGGTTTAGTAATAAAGTCAGGAGGTTGGGGATGGGATCTATGTTCTCAGAAAGCCTGCCTTTAACTGACGTTCCAGGAAATGGGTGTCATGCACGCATGTAGGGATGACAAACAAGCCTGCTCCTGCATTATGCCAAATCTACTCCAGTATTTGAGGTTTAACCTTCAGTACAACTTTGTGTTTTTTCACAGCAAGTGAAATGAATGCATTAAGAAAGGAGAACAAGAGGCTGCAGGAAGAAGTGAAGGCCCTGCGAGGCACGATCAAGTAAGTCTCATCTATGTTCTCCTTAATCACACCGAAGCACTGAGAGGAGTGCATGCTAATGAACGGCACAGAGCCGGTGATGACATCAGGGGGCGTCGAAAGTAAACGCTCTGCATATATTTGCTCTGAGGGGCCAGAACGGTCACAGCTCCCAGAGTCCCGCCGCAGAGGTTCTTCATGAGAGGCTCCCAGAGTCACCGGATCCTGCCACAACATCGATGAAGTGCTGCAAGCAGTCTCCCCCGAGCAGCTGCAGATCTGGGCTGCCCACTGCAAAGAGCAGTGCCGACTGTCACAGTTCCCTCACTGCTGAGGGTGAGATACAGCTGATCAACGAATCAGCAATGGTCCTAACTATTAGTGCCAATCAAAAGTCTGGACACGCCCACAGAAAATAATTTATTTTTTCAACAAGATAATGACCCCGAGTACACCATAGGTTATGTAGTAAGTATCATGTTGTGAAAAAGGAAAGAGATGTAGTGCTGTGACAGATGACCTGGCCCCCAAGATCCCCAACCGAAAACCTGTACAGCTGGTTTTGGATGAGTTGGATCGAAGAGTAAGAGCAAAGTAGCTAATTTATGCCCAGAACCTATGGAGACTCTTTCAGAACTGTTGGAGAAGCAATTCAGGTGGCTAAATCTAGAAGCTGGTTGAAGAATGCAAAGAGTCTGCAATGCTGTCATTGAACTGAAAGGGAGCTATATTCAAGAGTCTAAATTTTGAGAAAATTCTCTTGGTCGTTGCTATACTTTATATGTATTATTTAATTGCATAAAGACGAATGACATAGCTAAAACAGACACACAAATACATTAAAAGCAGGTGTGTCCAGACTATTGAGTGGTATATAGATACATGTAGATAGATACATATATGGATGGACAGACTGACAGATAGATAGATAGATAGATAGATAGATAGATAGATAGATAGATAGATAGATAGATAGATGTGAATTTTTCATAGGTATCTTAATCCATTTCTTTTTAATTAACTTATTTTTCTCTTATCTGGAATTTCGCAGAAAAGCTCCCAGGATACAGACTTCCACAAAACTGGAATATGCAAGACACTTACGATGTAAATATAAATATCATTTGGTCACGATGGTGTAGCGGACGGCAGAGCGGCTCTGTGTAGCACTGTTGTTCCGCATTGCCAGGGCTGTGGGATTGGATCATGCCTCCTTTGTGCCTGTCATGTTGTGTCATAGTGAGTGTGTGTGTGTGTGTCCTCTGATGGACGGGCATCCCATCTAGGTCGTTCCCCAGCATATTATCCACAAAACATAAGCATCCATCCTCACTTGTGTCTCTCTTCTCACAGGTTTCCTCCAAGGTCCTGGCTAACAGTTCTCCCATCTCCCCAGGAAGAAGGGCTGAGACAATTACTTCCCGGAGCAATTTAGCAGAGCGGAAGAGGTGAGAAGACACTGGAAATAGATAAAATGAATGAACAGTTAGGAATGAGGTTATCACAGGCATAGGAATTGGTGGTGGGAGGGTTGGGGCATGTGTACCCCCTAGTGATGGCCAAATTAAGCCCCATGAACCATTCTCTGTAACCCCATTAGGTGGTGCTTTTTGTTCAAAAAAGCCTCAAAGTGTGACCCAAAGCAAACCAAGGGCACCATCTAGTGAGGTCAGAAAATACAGCAAATGGTTCATGAGGCTCTATTTGGCCATCGCCAGTACCCCCCATTATTTATCCTAGAATCCTTCACCTCCCAATAAATAGATCTTCATACTTAAATTATTAATCTGTGTCCTAAACAATATCAAACTATCTTCTATACCATTGGAGGTGATGTGATCACAGAAGATTGTGAAAGTAGAATCAATAATGAATGTGGAGGCAAAAGAAGAAATGTAAAAAACTTATTGAATACCCAAAATAAAGCATTTGATTTTTTTTAAATGTTATATTCATCTATCTATCCATTCATCTCCTAACCACCTTCCCTGGTCAGGATCATAGGTAAAAATACGCTACTGATATTGTTATGTCGGTGGGTGAGGACAGCAAGATAGCTCTTCACAATTCACCCCCGTTAGGGAGCTTTATTTGGGGTACAGGCAAGTACAGGATGGGAGACATGAACAGGGGATAATGACTGAACTAGGAAATACCGGACAGGTAGGAAAGGAGGGTGCAGGATAACCAGCAGCGCCACCTGCTGGCCCTCACAGTGATAGGACAGGGCAGGCCAGAGCAGACAGCTATATATTTATAAATTATAAGGGCTGGTCAGTGATGTTCACGTTGACTTTTTCCCCATCTTCGTATTGCCCTGTCACGCTCCTGGTTTCTTGATCTCTCCCTCTTCTCATCCCTGTCCTTCTCTCCTTTCATTCCAGATCGCACAGCACAGAAGCTGTGGAATCCCTCCATTCACCCACCTCCCCTCTGCTCATCCTTAAGCGTCTCCACCTGCCCGCTGCTTCCCCCTCGTCTTCCCCACTTTCTCCTTCCCCAGCCTGGGACGAGAAGCCTGCCATGTATCCTTCACCAGGTCCGGTGCTTTATCGGCCAAGACCCATCAAGAAAACCCGCATCTCACTCCCATGGCTCCACACAGATCACCATGAATGGGCAGCCCTGGCTCCCCGGACAACTTTCCTGGACAACAACAGGAAGGCTGTGGAGAAAGAGTGGCCCCTGACAGAGGGCTCAGAAAACAGCCATCAGTTTAAGAGAAGGGCTCCTGGGCTGGTTCCTGGATATACTGTGCCCCACAGAGAAGTCATATTCACTGAGGAGTGGAAAGACAGAGGAAGAAACAGTAAAGTGGCTTCTCCGCCGATGAAGGGTGGTACAGGGCAGGCAGCAAGGAGCTCAGAGGACAGTTTGGCAGATGTTGCTGGGGATACGCCCCTTGACCTCTCTGATCCTGGGCGATTTAAGCCTGTCAATGAGCCAAAAAGCTTCAAATCCAGTCCTGCTCCCAAAGTGGAAGACCCCGGAGCACCAGAGGGAAACAACAAAGGTGCACAAATAAAAACGCCCCCACACACTCAGGCATCACCAAATACAGCTCCTTCTTCTGCAGCTACTGCTACCCCCCCTCAGTCAGGCCCGTCTGTCCCCACCAGCCCCGAGCCAGGACAAGGGCAGAATGCCAGTGGACAGAACCCACAGGTACATCCCAACCACACTTAAATACATCTCTCCCTGCTTTTGTAAGCACCAGATCACCAGAGGTGGACATTTCAGGTCCAGAAAGTAAAAATCCACACTTTTTTTTCAACCAGATTTTGTTTCAACCAATCAGTTGAGTACTCTGTGACTGTGACTCTTCATGCTCAACTGGTTAGTTGAAACAAAATATTGGTCTAGATTTTTACTTTCTGGACCTAAAATGTCCACCTCTGCAGATACAGGAGTTACACCATGCATATATACCCCTATTCTCAAAAGATCTGACAGTTCATAAAAACACTCTCAAAGCTACACAGGAGACCCACACTTAAAGCTGATCAGTTATATCATTGCACTGTGCCTTTATGTGCCATGTACCCTATTGGTAGCTCATTGAGTACCATTGTAGCTTCATGCCTCCAATTGTGGGTTTGACTGTGATTCTGGCTGAGTTTGTATAACTTTCAAGGAAGGTTTCACTAAGGTTTCACCATCTTGAAGTCTTTAAATATGCAGCCATGTTTTCATCTAAAGAGGTTTAATTCCAGAAGCAAGATGAGGTCTCCATAAAAGAAGAAGAAGACCTGGATTTACAGCTATTGACAAATGCTGAAAAAAAGAAAGTTCCTGTCCTCACTATCTCCCTCCGTCCAGGTAAATACCACTGTTACACACTAAACATTGCAGCAAATTAATTTGTTGCTAAGGGAACTTTTAAAGTCACATTTATTTATTACTTTTCTTCCAGTTGTAGTTCTGGAGGCACTGAAACATGGACTGGAGACTCGGGAATCATGTCATTCGAAAGTATGTTTTCTGTAGTGAAGAGTCAATTTAGAAAACTCTGTATATTAACAATGTTGACTTTTCACTAGGGCTGTCAAAATTACTGTGGTAATTCTGTTGTAATTTATTTTAAATAATTAGTGGGTTAAAATAAATTAACGCAATTAACAACGTCATTGCGCAGTGCATTATGGGGCAACCATATACACCATATATAAATGAATGCAAGGGACACTTTTTTGTGCTGTTGTCATTCATGAGCTACTACATTGATATATTTGAAATACACATCCTTTGTGATTATTGTACATTAATTTGATGATTGATTTTACATTTAATAATGCCTTATAACATGCTTTAGTTTTAAGAATAAAAACAAATTTTAATCGTGATTAATCACGATTAATTTGTCACACAATGTGCAATTAATTAGTTCATTTTTTTAATCATTTGACAGCCCTACTATTAACATGATATGCCTAGAATAAAGTTTTGTTTGGAAATGAGGTTTGTACATTAGGAATGTGTTAAACATGGAGAATGTTTGCCAAGCATACTAAGAGGTGTTTTCTGTTCTGTCGATGCTGCTCTCCGCAGATAACGATGGCTGTTAGCAAAGAACAAAACCAAGAGGAAGTGCCAGTGGGAGATCCCACCTCTACTGCGACAGCTCAGAATGGCCAGGGGAAGCGGAGAGGGCAGGCTGCAGGGAGGGATGGTGAGTTAATTCTTCATCATTTGTCCACCTATCAGTCCCTCACTGCTGCTTTACCCCAGTGCGAGGACCATAATAGACAACAGGAAACCAGGAACCAGAAAAGCAGGAAGCCAATCATTCTACTTCTGGACACGGTTATTGAGTCCGGGCAAATGTCAAGTAGTCACACATCATTATACCTGCAGGGGGCAGTCTGGCAATAAACATTGTAATGTAATTAATATATTGCAGCCACCAGTAAATATAGGTGCTGCATTATATTTACAGTACAATAAAGAATAGTATAATTCAGTGTGGTGTAGTATAGTGCTTGCGTTAAAAAAGGGACCATTGGCTAAAGTTATTTTTATTTATTTTAGTACTACATAGAATATTCTTAAGTCTTTATTGTTTAAACAAAATGAATAATAATAACCATTAATGCTATTAATACATGAATTATAAGGAAAACAATGAATTCACAATTTGAAAAACTAAGAGCCCCAGCTGACAGTTGTACCACTGCAGTTGATTTCATGATTTCTCTTGAGAAATGAATAAGTCACCAGGGAAAGTTAGTAGCTGGCTATACAGTCGGTATCCAATCATGTGGCAACATTTTAAAGTCACTTATTCCAGGGAATCAGATAGTGGCTGTGTAAACTTTGCATAGATTAATCCCTTTATACGGCTTGAGAACGAACAGGACATGCACTGAAACTTGACACATAGATGAGAGTATATATCCACCCAAGGTTGTGGAATATGTTGCTGTATTTTTATTTTATGCCCTATATAATAATAATTGGATGCTCTAATTAACATTTGTGGGAGGTGTGAGTTAGATGTATGTGTAATATAATAGATATTGGATAGGATTTATTTATTTGTGGTATGTATTTTGCTACTTTGCTGTCATTTTTATGTTTCATAATGGCTGCATATGATTTGATGCCTGTGGCTTATTAGCCCTAAAAGAACAGAGATCCAAGACGCCCATCTCTCAAGGCACTATGGACACCGTGTGACACTGTGTGACACTGCGCTCAGGTGAGCCAGCTGGTCTCTTTCTGAAACTTGATACGTTCCCCATTAATTGAAATAGCAGCTTGTACCAGTAGAGGGCAATCCAATCTAACTGCCTTCCAAAATGGGAAACAAGGTACTTGGGTTTGCTGCTTCAGATTGTGAGAACTATATTCTTTGAGCGAGTAATTAGTATCAGAAACTGCTTAGTCATGTAAAGTAACAATAATGATGTGGAGTGTCTAGGTCTGGATGACAAACTGGACTGTGAGACACTGGGAGTGGCACAAGAACATTTATTTTCTAGGTTTGAAATAAACAGGGAAGGGCTGGACTGTCATGAGAAAAATGGGAATGATATACTGACAAAAAATAAATAAATAAATAAATTAAATAACCAGGACACTGATCCATCAGGATCCACTCAGGGTTGAGTAGGGAAAGCAAGTACAGGGGAAGAGTTTATTGGTCTGGGCCTGGTACCAGTGGGAATCATTGTTTTTGGGGCTGAAACAAAACAGAAAACATGAATTTGCATGAACAGAGATAAATGCGGCAAAGCTGGAGCTAATGGACAAAAATAACCACTGTCCCTCCCAAGATGGCTGGAGGGCTCAACTCCCTCCCTTGTATTGCATCTGTAATACAATTCAAGATTCAAGATGTTTTATTGTCCATGTGCAACAAATGCATTGGAATGTTTATGCGTTCAGCCACACCCAGTACAAAAACAACAAACGGTATAGAAATTCTTAAATAACAAGCAATAAACAACAGACACCCAAAAGTGCATAGCTATGTTGTAGACAAAGAAAAGAGCAAAAGTGATAGTTATATTGCAAGACATGGGGACCATATGTGGGAAAGATCTTAAGCTCAGCATAGAACCTACAGTATAAGAATTCAGCCAGATCTCACGACATTTCACTGGTACAATTAGGTTTACATTCTGTGACTATTTCTAAATTATTCTATGCTCTGCCTATTAGGGCAGCAAGTTGAGTTAATCACATACTGTAGGTTCATATTCCAGTGATTCCAATTTAAGGATGTGTCTTTCTTTACAGTAGTACCTCTCATTTAGGAGCTGAACATTTCTCAACGATTTCTCCAGCTAAATATCAACTTGATTAAATTATCAGTGATATCAATGGTAAAATAGTAAAGTGAATAATGGTATCAGTTAAGAAATTCAACACAATATTTAATTCATTATTGACTTCAGTATGTGCCATAAAGAATTAATATTTTCAGTTCCACTTGTACACTGAATTATCCAGTCCAACACCACAGTGAGCTAAGACCTCAGGAAGCAGAGGGCAGGAGACACTGGGACAGGAATGTATCAGAGCACATGAATACATGCAATTCAGGAAAACCAATGTTTCTAACTGCTTTTTTTTTCTTTTGAAGCACAGGAAGAAACCTGCATAAACACAGTGAAAACACACACAGAGCCAGAGATGCGGTTTAAACCCCTAACTTTCAGGAGGTAGAATCTTTCATCTTAAACAGTGGTCACATGACTCTATCTCGAACCAATGGATACTGCTGGGTGGACTGCAGCTGAATCTCCAACAGGCAAATGAACAAAGAGCAGAATGTTGAGCTGATATGAATACAGGTGGATGCTACACCTGTTTTGGAACCTATGGATTTCCAGGTTAATTAATTGAAAATTAATTAAATAAACACACCTCTCCTAAAGCCTCTAGCCACAAAGATCTGTAGATTAACCTTTGCTGAAGCTTAGGTAATGCTGACAAGAAGAGCATTGCCCTTTCCTCATATAAGCAAGTGTGAAAATATCTTTTTCTTCCTCCGTTACTATTTTTACTTTAAAGTTTTGTTATTTCTGAAATCAATGTAATTTCCCAAAGATTATTTTTTGTCAGTAAAATGCACTGCCTGTAATATAATAAAAAAAATATCAGATATGTATTTTTCCTTCCTCTTCTGGCTTTCAGAAGAAAAAGATAGGTGTTAAGAGTGAACTTTCCCCTTGTGGTACGATGTTGGTTGGTGTGAAAAGGCTCAGATGAGCTTTACACCTTGAAAGAACATCAATCGGTCACTCATTAAATAGCATATAATAGAGCCAGTTCCGTGCATAGATCTGAATAAAAATATTCTGTCACACATAATAGGGAACTTGCAGAAAGAAGGAATGAGTGCAAATTCTTTATGGTTTATGGGACATTTTATTGAGAAAACCAATAAAGAAAAAATCAAACAAGTAAGCAAACCTGCAAGAACCGGCACAGACTGCTTATAATCACTCAAAGTATGCAAGACTTTATGAAGAAACTGGAAAAACAACAATATTCTATATTATAAATAAAATATTCCAGTCTTTTTTCATGATGAAAAAAGATAAATTTGTTTAGTTTTTGATTGAAATTTATCTTTTTCAAGATAAGCATACTGTTTATTAATAATTGTTTTATATAATTTGTTATAAATTACAAAACAAATAATAAATAGTATATGTTAAAATATAATGGAACCTAGTGAAGAGGTACAATGTAGCTTCAAGATTCTGAGCTCAAATCAGGCATTTGCTTTTCTTTCTACAATCTGTGTCAGTCAGATGGCCTAGATTCTTTATGATGTTATATTCACCATGTAATATATTCATTTCTGTCCCCAGATATATATTTTAGATATATTGATATAGATATATATTCTATATAGATATAGAAAATACATTCTTAAAAATTAAAAGGATGCTTAATAATAAGCTTATAGGATTGTATTTCATAAAACTGAAGGCCTCACATGAATTTATTCAAAATGTTTAAATAGTTTTCTTTAGTGTAAAAAAGGATTTCATTAGAAGGACCCTTCTGACTAAACAATGTGTCTGGATTCTGTGTAAAGAGGACCTTGTGATGTAAAGAGGTAATGTGATATCACTGGTTTAGACATCACCTGTGTTGAAATATGTCTTGTGAAAAACAGGTAACTGCAGAACAAGAGGAAAACTTTCCTTGATTTCAACATAGATTATGTAACAGGATACTGATTACTGATACTGTCCTTTTGCAATAGCAACATAATGCCTTCATTCATGTCCACACTGTTAGAAAAAAATGGAGTCTAGGGAAGATCAAGATTTTTCTAATGTTGGATCTTTGCTCAAAGCAACATTAACAACAGGCAACACTTCACAGTAACATTTATATGCCTGGGTATTTTCACCAGAGCAAATCAAGCTGAGTACCATTCAGCAGGTTCACTGAACACCAGGTATCAATGAAAACAGGACAATGTAGAGTGTGTGGTCTTTCTTGTAGTACCCTTGAGTTGGGCACTTAAGCCAAATCACTCCAGTCAAGCATTCATTAATATACACATTTCAAATTATATCTTAGTATTAAGAATTACCCTCTTGGATCAATAAAGTAAATGTAATGTAATGCAATGTAATGTAATCTAATTAGCACATGTCTTCATGCAGGCTAACTTGGAGGTGCATTTACACTGATAACTTAGATCTTCCATAGGCAATGTTGCTGTATTTTTATGAGCACACAGTTATACATTGCCATGTTCAGTTAACTGAATGAATGCATAATCCAAAATTTAAATGCAAACTTAAATTTCATTTAAAAACTGGTTTAAAATGTTTTGCTTAGGAGAAGCAAATGACTTACTGCAAAATGGACTTCTCACAATTAATATATGTGATATTTACTACTACTGTTCTTGAAACACATTCAAAAGGCAAAGGCAAAGTAAAATTAACCTTTAAATTAACACAATGATCACAGTTATCAATTTTAAATCACAATGATGACAATTACCAATGGCAATTGCAAATGCATTCTTACCTTGAAATTCACTACTTTAAAGTTTTAAATCAAGCTTTGTTCTCATTGTTGTTTATTTTAATCTGGCTTTAGATGAAAATACTTTGCCACTCAGCCTGGGTTTGATACAAAAATGGCAGAAATGTTTCAACCGGCCATATTACACACTGATATTGTGTCGCTGGACTTCCTTTTTTCTTTCCTGTCATTTGCATATGTTGCAGCAAAGCTTCCTCTGCAGTTAAATGCAGAACAGAATCACTAACATCTCTGTTTGTAGAGAGATTCAGAGGGACATATAAAAATATTCTGGAAACGCAGATGTTCCAGTTATTCCTCATGCATTTTTTACAATCAATTTTATTTTGGCAGAAATGCTAATTAGCTCACTTATTTTGCTCATGTGCAACAGGAGGTTAAGTTTAGCTCTAACTGTGCCTGGCCCCCACAGTCTCCCAACAAGCACTAACCAACAAGTTAGCAAGTATAAAGAGGAAGCCGTCAGTTCATTTTGTGAAGCAGACCTTTCATAAAAGATTAAACAGATGGAAACCCATAGAGAGACCATTCAACTGATGACCAATTCTGTTTCTGTTTAATTCATGGTTCACAGCAAATGACAGTAAATTGAATATGTAAGTGGAATTGTCTCCGCATAGGCTAGGAGAGTGTTGAGCAAGCCTTGGTCAACAAAACATTTTACATTATTTTTCTGATACATTTCAGCACTTTCACATGTATATATCAACATGCTTATTATGTGAACATTGACAGACAACATATTCCAGCCAACAGTCATAAATTGGCAAAAAAAAATATGCATTGCATGAACTGCAGTGATCTGGCACTGGAGTGTCAAAGAAATTGAAACGGATGAATTTCATGATTTACTCATAAGTGCATTTTCTCACGATATACAGTAACCACTCACACATAATCTTTAGCTTTCAGCTGAAACTGCCACTTTTGAAACACATTTATGAAAAAGGGGTGAAACAAAAAGAATTACAATATATGAATATAGAACATCTAAGTATCAGACAGGGCCTGCTTCTGCAAGAGGACAAGGTGTTAGGGCATGATAGAAAGACAACCCTCAGTGTAGATTACAAAGAAATGGGAACTTTATTTAAACTGAACTCAGAGACTCACGCATAAATGGTATCCAGATGGGTCAAAACAAAGGCCAGTAGGTTAGATAAGCATAAACAAGGGCTGGAACTGTGCGTGAGGAAAAGCAGAGGGAACACAAGCAAAAACACCTACAACCATCCCAGAATCATGGCAAGTAACACATACAATGGCTAACTAAGGAACAGCGAAAAGGAAAGCACATACATGCACAGGTGACTAGCACTAGACAAGAAACAAAAGCGAGCCATTGAAAATAAACCAAACATTATGGCAGGGAGTAACAAGAAACAGGTGAGGGCCATTAAGATTCACTAAGAACTCAAACACTAAGAAAAGGATGACCAGTGATACCTGCTAGCCAAACAGGGAAAATGACAGGACAGGAGAGGGACTCATCCTGACACTGATTTTGTAAGTCGTAGAGGGGGTAACAGCTCAAGGAAGAGGGAGTAATAGGAAGTGGAGAAATTTCAAAAGAAATGCAATCTACAACCAAATATTATGTAATCAGCCATGGCCTAAGTATGATGGAGGCTGATCAGAGAGTGCAGCCTAAACTGTGTCGTCCACACTGTCATCGATAGTCTGAACATTTAGGAGGGAAAACACGTGTGTAATCATGTAATATTTCTCCATGGAATTCAGTGAACTCAATTCACTGGAGAATTCATTGCAGTGATTTGCTGTATTCACTATTGTTTTTATCTTACAAGTTCCTATTATATTTCAATTCACACATCTATAAAAACTATAAAGGAAAAATTTGTATATATGAAACATGAGGTAAGGAAACACACCTTAGAGATATCCCCTCATAACACTATTCTTTAATATTTTATTGTCAAGATTTAAGCATTAATAACAGGATACATCATTTTGGTGACAAAGACTGTGTTCATTTGATGGGGTTATGTTAAACGTAAGTTAAACAGTTTGAGTGAAATCTAGTTTTTAGCTGCACCATATATACTAATATGGTGGGTCGACTTATAATTTTAAAATATGTATCAGTGTTTCAGAATATCTGCGTAAACGACTCAGAAAACCATAAATCGGGTTTTTATGGATTCATCCTACGTATAGGTCTTCGGATGACAACGAGGACCGACGCCACTTCCTCATGCACAGTCAGTTATATCTCGCAAAACCAAGCCGGCCGGTGTGTTTCTGAAGTGTGCGTACTGTAATGGAGGAACCAAACTCTAATAAATAGGTCAGCTTGCAAAAAAGAAAAAAAAGAACGACAGCTAGAAGTCTGTGAAGATATATATCAAAAGAAACAAACAAAAAAAGCCGCGAAGAAAACGGTATGTGAATTAAACCATACCCTATTTTAATTACACCTTTTCTCTTTACCTTAAATTATGTCAGTAATTCAAAATGCTTCGGTAACAGTCTAATGCATGTTAACGCCCGTTTAGTGTTTTATGTTATTACTTGATTAATTACGTGGTAATTTAGAAACAGAAACTTGTTACTTTCGCTTTCCTCATTATGGTAAAATGTGTCTGAAATGGGTTAGAACCATAACGGGAAAGTTGCTCAGTATTATACTCAGATCAGTATCGTGCCGATAGGGATATACAGACTAAAGTCAATGATTTGCATTAATGATTCTTAAATGCAGCGGAGAAATTCAGATGTAATGAATCAAAGGACTTGTGTGACTGTCACATTTTGGACGAAAAAAAACTTCCTTGGTTAGACTCACTGCGACGTTGAACTTGGTGACGGGGCTTAAAGTGGGGAGAAACATGGTGCCTTACTCCAAGTTGGGTGGATGGATCGAAAATTAAAGATCTTCAGCTAGCTGTGTGAACACACGGTTACTTATTTTAAAAATACACGCAAGAATCTCCCGCTGGAATCAATTAATCTTTGTTATCTTTGGGTGGAATGGTGCGTGTGTATTCGTGTACTGTAGTTCGAGTGCAACTTATGTCTAGTAGTCAATGGTATTCTTTAATGAATGTTCTTTAATGAATTAACCACACCCAAACATTATGCGTGTGTATGCATTTCTGTCATACATTCATTTGGCTAAAAACTGGCCATATGCAAATTTTTTGGAGTCATGGCTGGAAACTGAACTTGGAAGCTGTGTTACAGCCAAAAACCTGTGGTGAGTCCCACTATAATAAAACGGGAACATCTGTAGAAAGGAATCTCAAGACCCATGGTCATAATTACACTGAAGTTGGATTAAGTGATGAATGTGTTCATGAATTCATGTAGCCACTCAGACCTGCTTGTATTTTCAAGAGCATACAGGTTTTTTTGCCTATTGACTCTAGCTCTGAATATTCTATACACATTTCGATTAATTTGTTGAAAACATGTGAAGCATATAGGCTAAAAGAGAGACAGCACTGACATACTGAGGATCTGTGCTTGTTGATTTTACCAGGCATATGCAGGGTTGCCAACTTTGGTCAGTTGGCTGGTGTGCGATTTTCAGTTTGAGACAAGTCTGGACACACATGCAAATGTATATAATGGTTTTATTACCTTGTAAATAGTCTGTAGGGGTTTGCACACTCACCCCCACGCATTTGACGTAGCTAATTTTATGTTTATAATGGAATAATATAGATTTGCCGTAAGAAAGTCTGAAAGCGTGAGTGTCACGCCAGATACGTGAGAGTTGGCAACCCTGCAAACGCGATCAGAAAGAGCTCTGCCATAGGGGCAAAGAAGTAATTACAGGTGGACAACTGACTATACCTACATATAGTAACTTTGATTGTTCTTATCATAGTTACCATGGTTAGGAGGGTGTTGTTGTTTGACGGCAAATTTTTAAATGACAAAATTAAATACAAGAATGTAAACGCCATCTTTTAATGTCAACATAAAGAATACACACGTCAGAATTTTAACACAATTACTTTGTTTTGTTTGATTTTTTACTTGCATTTAATAATCCGTTCGTCACAATGGGCCTGGACCCTATCATGGGAAGTACAAGTCTGAGATATACCGTGGACCCGATGGCAGCTGCAGTAAATAATTTCTTTTTAATGCTTAGAAGAATGTATAGCCTGACAGCCTCTCTCAGCTTCTTAACATTATTGTTTTGACCATTATCTACTGTTTGGTAATTTGTGGCTGATTACTGGTAGTTTATATGGCAGATATTCCATAGCATGGGATTAATAATGGGTACCGGCAAGTGTAAAAGTGTAAAAACTGACCCAAAACACTTCAGGTTCAAATAATTTTGTCATGAAAACAAAGGATATTATATGATCTTTTTTGGCAACCTATGCCTTGTCGTTTCTTTCAAAAGCTACATTGTGAAAACCCACAGTAAGTGCTGTGGAAATGAAAGTGAGGTGCCTTCATTTGGTATCTGCATAATATTCAGACTTATTAAATCTAACCTGGGCCGATTTTCAATTTTACCTGCTGGTATATGATAATAATAATAATAATATTAATAATAATAATAATCAGGGTCACCGAATTCTCAAAAATCATGAACTCCTGTTCTAAGCTGCTTTCTTGCATTGCTGTTTATGCTGTATGAATAGCAATTTTAAATACGCTTACATTCTAAAAGTCAGAAAAAATCAAATATGGTTATAAGTGGTGCAAAGTGGATTGTCAGTCTTGTTGTACTTATAATAAACAAAAAGATGCTAGAAATGTTTAATCACAACATTTATTTTATTCATATGTGACTGGTCCCAGATTTAGGATGATATACCATGGCTCTCTGTAAGCATTTTGTATTACATTTCCTGGATTCCCCTGAAACTGCTACACAGTGCTAAAGGCTGTAGTGCCAATTGGTGGATTATCATCCATCCATCCATCCATCCAGCTATCCATACATCCATCCATTTTCTGTAACCACTTGTCCTATTCAGGGTCACAGGGGATCCGGAGCCAATCCCGGAGGCCCTAGGATGGGGCGTCGACCCATGGCAGGGCACACTCACACTCACACTCACACACCATTCATACTCACACTCACACTCACACACCATTCACACACCCATACACACCTACGGGCAGTTTGGTAACTACAATTGGTCTCAGCATGTTTTTGGACTGTGGGGGGAAACCGGAGTACCTGGAGGAAACCCCATGACGACACCCCAAACTCCACACGCGTGGAGCCATGGCAGAGAGTTGAACTGCTGGATTATCAATGATATTCTAACTTATAAATATTGCAGCACTTCATTTGACTGTGTCACTTTTTTGTGACCTAAATGCAAGAATTATCTTTGTTATCTACACACATCCCAAATTTAAAATGCACTGTATCTGAATTTTATTTTAACTTTCCTATTGAAAACCATTTTCATTTTAAGGTTAAGGTTTCATTTTAGGGTAAGCTTACTGGGTGAATATGTAAAATCTGCTTAGTCTAGGGTAAGCTTACTGGGTGAATATGTAAAATCTGCTTAGTCTAGGGTAAGCTTACTGGGTGAATATGTAAAATCTGCTTAGTCTAGGGTAAGCTTACTGGGTAAATATGTAAAATCTGCTCAGTCTAAGGTAAGCTTACTGGGTAAATATGTCAAATCTGCACAGTCTAGGGTAAGCTTACTGGGGTGAATATGTAAAATCTGCTTAGTCTAGGGTAAGTTCACTGGGTGAATATGTAAAATTTGCTTAGTCTAGGGTAAGCAAACTGAGTGAATATGTAAAATCTGCTCAGTCTAGGGTAAGCTTACTGGGTGAATATTTGTTTGAGATGGAGCACACTTTACAGTACATTACATTTATTTAGCAGAAGTTTTGGTCTAAATTGATGTAAAAGCCAGACAGATAGTATATCACTAGCATACATCTGTGAAAGAGTCAGTCAGGCATAAGTGCAGCTTGGCTGTAATTCCTATGAATGAGCAGCAAAGACTGAAAGTTAGCATCCGAGCAAGAATTATAAAAATTATTACAAGAACCTAATAGGAGAGCTTAGGTTTAATGACAGTGGAACAATAAAATAATGTTGTGCATAGAGCAGGTATGTTTGCTTTATGTATTTTCAGCCCTGCGTGCCTGTCGGTTTCTCTTACAGCTTCCAGGATGGGCTGCATTGGGTCCAAAAAGGAGCAGGAGCCTATGGTCAAAGAGCTGGATCATGACGATTCAACGCAGGCAGCACACTATGTCAAAGACCCAACGTCTGGGAAGAAGCCTGTGAGTAGATCTGTGGGCTGCGGCAGGCAGATTTTGGGGGCTAGTTTCTAAATAGAAGTTGGACTGTATATGATGAAGAGGGCTAATTAAATAAAGGATTTGCAAAGAAGCTGAGAAGAATAGGGAAAAGGTCACTGGGTGCCCATGTTGGGTAGTTAGCAGGAAGATAGTTGTACTGAGAATCGTCACAATCATCAACTTATACTTTGGATAAAATAAGTGTGGGGTTAAAATTCTATTAAACTCATGAAGGGCTTTTAATTTACAGGTAAATTTATTTTACTATATTGGTTCCTTGTTGAAGCTTTTCAGTTGGTTGTGTTTCCAAGCTCTTGTAATAGAGATCATGGGGAAACTGTGTAACCTTTTGAGGTATCAGCTTTTTTCTGCTCATTTAAGCCCTGAGATCATTAAATTAAATCTATCTGTCTGTCTGTCTTTCTGTCTATATCTTTCAGTCAAATAAATATTTCCATGTATTCCCTCAGAACAGCAAAACCAGCTGCTTCAATGGCCCAGCAAGCGCTGAAGGTGAGTGTTGCTGTTTTCGTCTATGAATCTCTTATGTTACGGTCAGAGGTAGAGCTTAAGAATTTTTGCTACTAGCCAACTGGGCTATGTTATTTAAAAATGTAGTCTGACATTTTTTATTAGCCAGTAGGCTAGTGCTTTGGATTTTTGTGCTCACCAAGTCGTCTAAATTTCTCAACAAACAATTAACTCATGTCTCACTAGCAAATAATAATCACTGCCAGCAAACTGAAAAGTACCTTTAGCATTGTTTTCACTATGAGAATCAAAATGCTAAGGTATAATTTCAACAGCGTAAACATGCCCCTGAGCTACAAAATTCAGAATGATAGTTGTTTCCCACTTTCTAATTGTCGCTGACTGATCATTCTTTTTTAGTAAACTGATACATATTCATGTCAAAACCCCAGTTTCAACATTGTAAGGTTCAACAGTACAGTATGTAAAGCTCACTGGCAAGAGGAAGCACTTGCATGCATTTTTCAGATCTCGAGACACAGTACCATAGCAAAAAAATAAAATCACACAGCACTGTATAACTCAAAATCAGGAAAATGACAATACAAGAACAACACAATTGCTGCAGTATCATGTACTGTGAATATTAGTTTTATGCCAGTGTCCCCCCCCCCCACCCCCCCACATTCAAAATGCTTCTGAGGCCCCTGTGTACTACAACATTAGGAAATTCGAAGCAATGAGAAATGATGTTCTGTTGCGCAGTGACAACATTGTGTGGGGATTACTAATTAGGGGTGCACCGATTGCAGTTTTCTGGCCGATCAACGATCACCGATCCTTAGGCAACCTTACCTGCCGATCTCGATTTTTTTTTGCTGATCTTGTTTCTTTCATAACTAAAAGACAGTTACTTCAATGTTTCCATTTTTATTGAGTAAATTGATATGAATACTCACAAAACATGAGGTAGTGTCCTCAAATATAAATGAACATATAAATGAGCATTGCTGTTTGAACTACAAAATCATATTTTTTCTTCCAGACTTTAATTTCTCTAATTTTGTAAAAAATATATATATATATAGCTGTTATGACACACTTGTCCAAAAAATAGGGAGGGAGGCAGCCTGCACTGCACCTCTCTCGGGAATGGGAGAAAAGGCTGATTTAACCCTCTGGGGCCTAGCGGTAGGAAATACACTTTCACTGACTGGGGCATGATCACACATTTCATCACACTTAATTCATGGCAAATAAATTATTTCTTATATATTTGTTTTGCCATTACACTCATCTTTATTTTAATATATATTGTAAATATGTCAGATTTTTGTTAAGTTTAAAATTTGACATCAAAGTATAGACATTGCAAAATGCAGTTTGGAACACTTGCAGAAACATTATAAAAGTACATAGTAAGCAATGCTGGCAGTTTGTTTTGATCCCAGATATCTGATCACCAAAGTCTTGGCTACATGAAGATGACTAAATGGTGTAGATGCAACATTAATTTGGATAAATAAATAAGAAAAACCTAACTCATGTAACTATTTCTGGCTCCTTTCATTGAATATGTAGCAACTTTCATGTGTATGAATGAGCCATTGTCACCTGGCCACGTCCCCAACCCCCTTTTATGGCGCTGAAGGGGATGTATCTGGATCGCGTTTCACCGTTGCGCTGTTAATCAAATTACCATGCGAATGCGATTTGAATACGCGCTAATGCGGCTATTTAGAATGTGAATAGCGATCTTCGGGTGAGAGCGGTACTACGCGCCCCCGATGCAGGTAAAACAAAGTAAGATGACATGGTTTACTTTTTTGCCGATTTAACCTAATTAAAAAAACTTTAATACTTCCGACAATGGACGTTTTGAAAAGAAGACAGATTACGGATTTAGCCAGCGTTTTTTTCATGATTATACATTAAGATTTCAGCGAGATATTTATAAACTGAAATAGACGCGAAAAGTACGCGATGTCGTCGACGACATACTCGACCCCAAAGAGTTAAAAGCATATAACTAAGATCGGTGGATCTCATGGGAATATGGTCGATTTCTGATCCCCTCAAATTAACGTGATCGAGGCCGATCGATCGGTGCGCCGATCGATCGGTGCACCCCTAGGGATTACCCTTGTTGTTTTGCAAATTTTAATTGTCCAATTGAGAAATGCTCCAAAGCAATCAAGAAAAACTGTAATAATCATCAGAGAAATGCAGCAAAGTATTGCCATTTCTAGTATTGCCATTGTACTGCCCTTTTGCTGTTTTTGTGCTATACTCTGCTGCATGACTTTTTTGTTTGCTATTGTACTGTGTCTTGAGAACTTAAAAAGTTGAGCATGTGAGTGCTTTTTCTTGCCAGTGAACTCTATGCTCTGTAATGCAGAGCCTTGCAGAGGTGAAACTGCTGGTATCTTTGACACGAATATGTGTCAGTTTGCTAAAAATAATTATCAGCCAGCGACAGTGGAGTGGGAAATGATTATCATTCAGAAGTCTGCAGCTCAGAAGCATTCATACACTGACATTTTCATAATATATCTAAGCATTTTGACTCTCATTGTTAAAACATTGCTGATGATGCTTTTCGTTTTGGTGGCACTGACTAATTCATTGATACAATTGTTTGCTTTGGAGACATGAGTTAATTGGCTTGGTAAGTTACAGGTTTTTGCAACTAAACCATACTGTTGTGCTATAACCAGTTCTGAGAAATGGTCTTAAAGTCATGAGAATGTTAAGTATGTTTTATGAAATGTGCTAAAGAAATCGAGAACAAAACCCACAAGTAAATTATTTAATCATTGTATTTCACCAGACATAATGTCTGAAAAAGTTAAGTACATTTTCAGTGTTTGTCTTCACTGGAAAATAAAAATCTCAGACCTGGGTGGTACTGATCAGCCAAAGTCATGCAGCAGAAACAGAAACTAGGTTAATGTGAACAGAATATTACACTTATGTATGATGTGGTGGGGAGGAAGTGTAACGGCCGTGACACTGCTAAGCGCTAACAGAAATATCCCTGTCCTGCTGTACGCTACTCAAACATGAAATTATGATCAGCTGTAGCTGGTCCACAAGTAATAGATTCGTAGATTCATAGACAAATAAGCAAAGATATTTTATGGTCTGGGGTTCGGTTTCACTTTCAAAGCCAAACAGCAGAGAGTCTTTGGCTGTTTTATTAGGCAGTTAACTTTAAGATGAACTTATTAATCTTACTCAGCAATTTGCAGGTTTTTATAATCCCTCACAAGCACTTCTCCATACTCACATCACTTTAAACACATAGATTTTTTCCCAGTTATTTCTGTGGGTGCCATAATACAGAAAATGTGAGTCCCACTTGCTTCCCTGTTTCTTTCAAACATACCCATGTAGTCTATGAACTGTTACTTCAGCAGTTTCATTATGCTTCTTTAAAACCCTCAAAGTAGTCAAATTCAGCTTTGCTATGGCATCTTTTTTGCTTTCCTTGGGACATTTGAGAAGAGGCACAGCAATCTGTGCTGTATTCGGCAGTCTGAGCTGCTACATTTAACCATTTCTATAAAATAGTGGTTAGTTTTATTCAGAAAAATACACTATTAGGCTCAACCCTGGTCATGTCAGAGAATTAGTTAATAAGCCTGAAAGAGTCTAAATTGATGGAAAAAAGTCTTTTTGCAACGGGCAGCTAGAATTAGCATGTCAGCAAAACTTTAAAGTGCCTTTGACTTATAGGAATGTGATCCAAAAACTAGCATCTGATATTTTTTTAGACATACCTATACCACCTATGAAAAAATGCTGCCTTTAGATAGCAGAAATGCAGAGTAATCTCTCACAGAGCCATTCACTTTTGTCAAAAACGTGCTTCTCAAGTTCACTGTTTGTTACATCATCTCCATCATCTCAAATGCCTGTAAAAAAAAATGCAGTTCTGCTTGCTTGGTTGTTAAATGTTACCATCCTATTTAAAAGAATTAAACACTTTCCAACTATTCAGTTTCTGTTGATATACTTGTATTTTTTACCAATTTGTGTTTTTAATCGAGAAATCAGAGAATGAATTTATTTGTCTTTTTTCCATTTTGAAATGTATTTTTTTCTCAGAATATGCTTGTGTTGTGGTTCCTCATTGATGTATTTTGTTCCTTTCATGGACAGAAAACATTGTGATTGCACTGTATGATTATGAAGCCATTCATGATGGAGACCTTGGCTTCAAGAAAGGAGAGAAACTGAAAGTCCTTGAAGAGTGAGTGTCACTCAAGCAAAACCGCACAAACCAACTTTAAATGATTAGAAATAACTATGTGAATTGGAGCTCCAGCCTGACTGCTCTGGTCTTTGGTTTAGTTTGGTGAGAGATAGAAGATGCATTAAATCCTACAGATGGTGATAGAACAGTGCTGCATGCAAAAGAGGACCCGTAGTTCATTGTACTTCGTTTGTTAAAGCTCAGGGTCAGAGATAAATGTGTACCACTTGCCATAAAACATATATGCTCATTTTCAAAAGTAAAATCGATTCTGAGGTAAATGCTGCTGTCCAAATGCACTCAAACCTGACAGAGTTATGAGTGCTAGAAAAACAGAAGCTCTTGCCTTCATGAACTGAACTGCATACATGCAAAGCATGTGGCTATGCTGCTGGCCTTGCCCACTCAATATATGCAAACTCCCAGCAGCCCTCCCATTGTATGATATCCATGCTATGCTTTGAGGCTGCTGTTAAGAGCACCCACAATATAGCTGTAAACAGATTGTAATTGCAGCCTGCCTGAGAGGTTTGCATTCTCCGAACAGACTGCAGATATATGACAGCAAACCATTATGCTATCATTATGCTGTTGGTTTGCGAGCTGTTTATCCATGGTGTAGCACCTGCTATGGCAGTAGGTGAGAAAATAGCATGGACGCAACATATTGCCACACCTTCTTTGCAATTGTCATATACATGCAAGCAGAATAAGAGTTAAGGAGACAATGGAGCCTTGGTTTTGTGTTAGCCATACAAAGGAAAAATACACAGATATATTTCAAAGGTAGCTTCACTTTCCTAGGAGCGTACCTGTATTGTAAGTGTTAAAGACGTGTAAGCATTAAAAATAGATTCAAGGTAAATCTACAGTGCATTTTCATGCACAAACATGAATCTAAAGTGCAAATAACAATGAACCGTTTTGGAGGACTATCACAAAATATAGTATATTGTGTAAAAAACAAAGTCGTTCTTTGAGAACAGAACTTCCCCTTTTAACCACATTGCGATTTAAATAACTAAATTGTATAAACAGTTCCTGATGAGGCCAACCACTGACACAGGCTCAAAACTTATATTATGGTTCAAATGCAATATTGCCAGAATTGTTTGCAGAATAAAAGTAACCAAAGTCTAATCCCTTGAAATAAATATGTCACTCTCTGTAAATGTAAACACTGGCAATGTTAGGCATTTCAGGTCCAGAAACTACAAATCCAGACAAAGATTTTGTTACTACCAACCAGTTGAGTCCCAGTTACAGAGTACTCCACTGGTTGGTAGAAACAAAATCTTGGTCTGGGGTTGTACTTTCTGGACCTGAAATGCCCAAAACTGAACACTGGTAGGGTTTTCTCTTTAACCATAGTCTTGTTTTATAGCAGGAGATTCTAAACAGGAAGTCATTTTTACAGTGGTTTTAATACTGTGCATATATGTAAGTGTATTCAAAAGTATATTTCATTAAGCTGTAGATTAACAGTGAACCAGGAAGTTTTACTTTGCATCCTATTGCTGTTATCATTTCATTTCATTTTATTATGTCAATTGAATAACCAAGAATGCTGGAGACACAGCAATGAAAATCTCTTTTCTTTCCCGCATTTTGATCTTTGTATTCCACTGTAGGTCTGGAGAGTGGTGGAACGCAATGTCTATCAGTACTGGACAGGAAGGCTTCATCCCAAGGAACTATGTGGCCAAAGACACCCTGGAGACTGAGGAGTGAGTACGCTACCTACATACTGTACCAGACAGTGAGGGCTGTGGCTTAATGAATTGGGTAAAGCAGGTGAACCCAGTTTGTTAATGCTACAGACAGTTATATAAATACACCCCGGCCTGATTCCAGCATAATGCATACTTTGGTTTAAGTGTATAAAGCGAATTCCACATTTGCACCATGACACTGACCCAAATTTTTCGCATAAGAAATAATGGAAAACCAATGAATTGGTTCCCAGCCCCCCAAAATTAAACCTAAATACAGAAGAGCATTTTTTTCTTAATGGCTTCCAAAACGATAAAGATCTTATCCCTACATTACCCCTGTCCTGCCCCGATCGTCCGCTCCTTCCTTGTGCCACGCCCCCTTGTTAACCACGTGTGGGATCCCCATGTGATCAGCTGTTTCTGGTTGTTGTCATTAGTCCTCTGTATGTCTGCAATTCAGTTTGTTTCCCCAGTCCGGTCATTGGGTGCGTTCGACTTGCTTACAGCGCTGGCTTAAAGCAACGCATTCTGATCCTGACGTAATGCATTATGGTTAGATGCATTGCGACCTCTCACGCGGCTGCACAAACTGAAACTACCTCCGTAATGACACACCTTTGCCCTTATTGGCTGAAGAGTTCAGTTACACGCATGACATTTGTATCTCCCGAATATCACGTAAAGCAGTGAGAACTGGTTTTCAGTTAATTTACCTCGTAAAATAAAGTTTAAATAAGTAACATAAATGCTCTAATAGTACATGTAAGTTAATGGTCTATTTATTGTTAGTTACTGTAATGTTGCGCTGCTTTATTTGTTTAATCGTCCAGTCTGTGAAGAAGGCATTCAAGTAAGAATTGCATTGTAGTATGACTCATTTCCTGCCGCGTACAATTTATATTAGGTCAGCGTTCACGGTTCGACTTCTGATATTCAGATCGAGTTCTAGGTCAAACTGGTTTGTTCGACTTTCAAGAAATTCGAGTTCTAGTGAGTTCGAAAACCGAGGTACCACTGTATAATGTTGTGCAGTATCTTCAATTCCCCCCTCCCACAGCCAAAGCAACCATTATCCAGAGTGACATATCAATGGCCTCCCCTAGTGCCTAAAAGTTTTCCTCCTTCTCCCTCCATTTAGGGTTGGCGCTGCCAATAGTCATGCATTCAGTCAGGATTTCAAAACAGTATTTCCCAATCCGGTCCTTGGAGACCCTCGGGGAGTCTACATTTTTGCAAAAATGTAGACTATCTGGCAGGGAGCTGGAGTGGAGCAAAAACGTGAACCTTCTGAGGGTCCCCATGGACTGGGTTGGGAAACACTGATCTAGAGAACCTGGCCTTACCATAGTCTTGGCTGAAAACCAGAAAATATCACTTGATGACTACATAATTAAAACTTGAGGATTTTTAACACATATTATAGGTCATAATATATTGCATCATATTATTCAGTTATTATAAAATTTCTTATATTTATCGCATAGCTCAAGTCAAGTCCAGGGGACTTTATTACCTTTCCATCCATGTGCAGTTATAGAGCAGCATGAAAAAAGTGTTTCCTCACCACCATGGTGCAAAATGCCACCTCATTGAAGGGAGGGTTTTCACAATACTTAAAGTGCAAAACATGAGACAATGCAAAAACACTTCAGTTAAGTACACTTTGTTTCTGCAGTAGTTGTAATATTCTGGCCATCCAGCACAGGAGCCTGGATCCCCTCCCTAGCTGCCCTAAACATACAGCAGGGAGCATCCTGTCTTTTGGAGAGCACACACAGACACACAGGCACACAGACACATAGACACAAAGCCACACAGACACATAGACACACAGGCACACAGACACACAGACACACAGACACATAGGCACACAGACACACAGGCACACAGACACACAGACACATAGACACACAGGCACACAGACACATAGGCACACAGACACACAGGCACATAGGCACACAGACACATAGACACATAGACACATAGGCACACAGACACATAGGCACACAGACACATAGACACACAGGCACACAGACACATAGACACACAGACACACAAGCACACAAGCACAAACACTATGGGCCATTTAGAAATGCCTGTTTGACTAACTGCTTGGAAACACTCACAGCAGGGGAAGGGCATGCGAGATGCAGAGTGAGACAGGATTAAATTCCCCAAAAGTGAATACACCTACAAGCCAGTCTGCCCTTCTACCTGCTCATGCATTTTCTGAAGAGTCAGTCACAGAATCACACATAATACATTTTAATCTCCTGACTTGTGCCTGAGGGCATCGCAGTGGTGCAGTGTTTTGCACTGTTGCCTCATACCTCTGGGACCACGGCTCAAGTCTCCACCTTGGCTCCATATGTGTGGAGTTTGCATGTTCTCCCTGTATCATCATAGGGTTTCCTCTGAGTAGTCCGCTTTCCTCCCACAGTCCAAAAACATGCTGAGGTTAACTATAGTTACCAAATTGTCCATAGGTGTGCTTGTATGAGTGAATGGTGTGTGAGTGTGCATTGTGATGGGTTGGCAGCCCGTCCTGGGTTGTTCCCTTCCTTGTGCCCATAGCTTCTGAGATAGACTCCGGTCCCCCTATGACCCTGAATAGAATCAGAATCAGAATCGAGTTTATTGCCAAGTACGTTCACACATACAAGGAATTTGCTTTGGTGGTTGGTGCCAGACTTGAGATGAGGTGGTTAATATATAAATATATACACATAAAGTATGTACAGGTACTAATATAAATAGTCAGTGTATGTGGAATATGATACAGCAGTGGAAATATATACATATTTAGGAGAGTGCATTCTTGAGCTAGGATGGGGAAATAGTAATTGAGTGAGTGTTCTTGGCCTTATTGATGAGGCGGGCCATGTTGGGGAAGAAACTGTTCCTATGGCGTGATGTTTTGGTCCCAATGGACCGCAACCTTCTGCCAGAGGGGAGAGTCCAAAGGAGTTTGTGACCAGGGTGAGAGGAGTCAGCCATAATCCTTCCAGCTCTTTTCAGAGACCTGGACTCGTACAGGTCCTGTAAAGATGGAAGGTTGCAGCCGATCGTCTTCCCAGCAGAGTGGATGATGCGCTGTAGTCTGCTCTTGTCCTTAGCAGTGGCAGCAGGGTACCAGACGGTGATGGAGGTGGTGAGGATGGACTCAATGATGGCAGTGTAGAGGTGCACCATCATAGTCTTTGGCAGACTGAATTTCTTCAGCTGGACAAGCAGTTACAGAAAATGGATGGACTTGTGTGTACTCAAAATGAATAATAGTATAAAAAGAATACCAGAGAGAAATGTGGTTATTTGGAAATTTGTGTACTTTTATTTAATCAATTTATAAATTTTAAATGCCTCAATTATACTGTTGAAGCCTTGTACTTTCATAATAATACAGAGTCTTGGTAATGAATATTGTTTTCCCTTACCACAGACTTATAGAGAACATTTTCCAAATCAAAACACACAAAACAGAAAAAATACCAGCTAATTCCATTTATTTTATTTAAAATTAAGCCTGCAGTGTAAAATATAATCCACGGCAGATTTCAACAAAAATCATTACAGGTTTCATGCTCTAAGTTTTTGACTTGTTCAGTTTTTGATGAAAAACATGATGCATGAAGAGGAAGAATGCAGAACACGCACCTTCTAATGCTTTACAAATAGGAACAGTTCCATTCATTGAAGGTTTAAAGAGCTGTTCTCAAAACGAGATACAAGTCTTCTTATTACAAGTGGTTCAGATGTCAAAAGCCAAATTATCTTTGCATATTTTCTTTGCCTTCACTCTGTGCAGGTGGTTCACCAAAGGTGTGAGCAGGAAAGATGCAGAAAGGCAGCTTCTGGCATCTGGTAATCAAGCTGGATCCTTCATGATCCGTGACAGTGAGACCACTACAGGTGAGTCTTTTCCATTCCTAGTCACTGGAGTCACTGGATATGACCAAACCATTACAATTTAATTAGTGAGACCCAATATACAGACCAGTTGTATATTATGATTCATAGGGTGGTTTATAGAAAGAGTTGGTTGTAGTATCATCAGATTCCTACAAAATTCACAATTAATTACAGGGAAGAAAAAAAAACTTTGTTTTTCTTACCTAAGGTATATGACATTTTTGTGCGTAGATCACCATGTTATCTAACTGCAAGTGTGATGATAACCTCAGCATCAAATATATAATATAATATTAATCATATTTTATATTGTAGCTTTGAAATTTGGTTAGACACATATTTAACACTGTGTGTAAAGTAAAGGTAAAATAGTCCAGAGTGAAAGAAACATTTGTCATTTACAGACATTTGTGCGAATGTTAAAGTTCAGCTTTTACTTTTCCTATCATGGAATGAGCCTGAGTTGTGGCTTAACTACATATAAGCGACTGATAGATGCCTTCTGCCTATTACCATGCGGGCAGGAAAAGAGAATGAAAGAACTCTCTGTTCTCTGCATGACTACAGTTGGTGGGCCATGGACTTAACCTTTGGGGCCATGTGTGTCTGCTGTGTTTGGTATCTCTGCTTTTCATCATCGCATCTTAAATGTTCTGCCTCCTTCTCACACTTGTTCTCTTTCACTAGAGTAGTGCACTTGAGACATTACGTAAACATTTTTCCATTTAATATTGCATACTTTTTTGTTCTAATGACATTCCTCCTGTGCTCTAAGGCTGTTTGGTTAATTAATACATTAAGTAACTGTTGGTTTATGATCAATTAAGAGAATAATAGTATATTGTGCCTCCAAGTAAAGTGTTACTTCCTAGTGTTATATCTATATGTCAAATACCAGAGAATGCTTAACCATCAAAAGGAAGTGTCAGCTTCCACATTTAAAACGCCCACAGTGACACTTCTGATCTAACCCTCCATCTCGTCATTGCACGCTACCAAACCCACACACTCAGAAGATTAAGATTTTAATAATGTTCTTTGGCTGCTGTTTAACTAGGTGCAAACCCACAAATCTGTTATGGTTCTAGTCCCAACTTATAAGGTCATTGCAATCTGTTCACCTTGGCTTTAGAAACATTATGTGGTCATTTTATTATATTTTATGATGAAAATTTATTCAAAAATAGTCAAGAAAAAGAAAAACACTGGGTCAAAATACCAGTGATATTTAAGGTTGTTAAATGCAAAAGCCAAACTGTATTTGATGTTGTGTAAAATGTATAATTTGGAACAAATGCACGATCAATAATTCTAACATAAATCGGCTCTTTATTATGCAGGTAATACCCAGAATGTCATTATAATGTGACATTGAAATATGATATTTACAATTATCTGTGTTTGAAATTGACTGTCCTTATGATTGGTCTCTACAACTTCCCCTATAGGTAGCTACTCACTGTCGGTGAGAGACAGTTCTAGTCAATCTGGTGATACCGTGAAGCATTACAAGATCCGCTCCCTGGACAACGGCGGCTTTTATATCTCACCCAGGATCACCTTTAATAACTTACAAGAGTTGGTTAGCCACTATAAAAGTAAGTACTCCTAACTAATATATGTAAATGGTGCAACCATAGATTCATTGTCCTCCTAAGGCCCAGTTAAGTATACAAAGACATTTGTGAGTATAGTTTGAAAGATACAAAGGATAGTATGAAAACAAACATGTATAGGAATATGGTTATTTTGTTTATAGAGCCATTTACTGAAGTGATTATATTTAAGTCCTTATAAACATCTAAAGACAAGATTAGAATTGCTACTTTCTTTTGGGATTAGAATTGCATTTGCTACCTTTAATTACAGCAATTTTAAGGGCACTGTGTGGGCATTGCTTGATTTGTATTGTTATTGCCAACAGTAACATAAAGCTAATCCCATTATGTGCATGTGTCTTTGTCTTTACAGAACAGGCTGATGGGCTGTGCCACACCCTTTCGGTTCCCTGCATAAACTCCAAACCGCAGCAGCCATGGCAGAAGGATGCCTGGGAGATTCCTCGAGAGTCCTTGAAGATGGACAAGAAGCTGGGTGCAGGACAGTTTGGGGAGGTCTGGATGGGTGAGTAACCACCATAAAAAGCTTAGTATTTTATTTCTCAAACTGTTTTTCAAAGCCATGTACAGTTGTGAAAATAGGGACATGGCCTTGCCAAAGGGCACGATGGTGAAATCACTGTGCGGACTATAAGGTTTGAACTGGCAACCTCCCACTCACACACACAGAGGTCTAACCCCCAGAGACACACACTGCCACAACAATTTAAAGCTTGATTGCAACCATAAAACAAACCTAACACCACAAAACAAGGAAATCATAAAAACCTATGTTAAAATGAAAACAATAAAGGACTGTTAACATAGAAATAGAGTCCTTAAAGCCCTTGTATTGTTGTTGCTATGTATGCTACAGTACATTAAGAGTACAAAAAATAAAATTTTTGTAGCAGCTGAATCAATGTAACGAAAAACACAAAATCTTTTTTTATGAAGTGCAACCAGCATGGAGCTTTAGATAATGTATTCAGTACTCCAGTTTTTTTTTATGTAAAAGCACAGACTACCGCTGCTGCTACTAAGAATAGTATTAAATAATTCTGTAATGTTATTTAATGTTGATACAGAGAGAGTACGCGAGCGAGTGTATCTGCATTTATTACGGACAAACAGTAAACATTTATTGAGGAGAAAAAGTCTTTTCCGCATTTTACACCATAGACTTTAGTGACTGAACGGCGCAAAAAGGATGATTGGTGAGGAAAAACCCGTGAACGGCAGGCGGCAAATTTCGTTTTAAAACGTGTCCGGTTGTGTGCGCATACTACAGTGATGAACTGTAAATAAGATCAATAACATAAGGCTATTTAGTTTGTTTAATAAAAGGACGAGATATAGACCTGTTCTATAGGAAAGGTAGCATTAAATGACTTCTGTTGTGAGCTTTAGAATGGCAGGGTAAACACTTTGTGGTAAATGTAGCCACATTTGATAATAGTGTTGACATCTTTCCCAGACAAGCACGACTTCATCTGTGTTCATGTGCACACATGTGCGTCTATGAAGGGGCGGGGCGGGTAATGTGGTTGGCAGTAACGTCATTGGTTGCACTTGAAGTGAGAAGTTATCCAAATCCGACAGTAAACGGCTCATTAATAGGAATATTCTCAGAGTTGTGCCTCGGCAGGTCTCGAAATATAATTCCGAGTCCATGATACGAACAACGTATCATGGAGTACAAATACGGCTGTTTCAAAGACATTAAGATCGAGACCTTCAAAAACTGGTCTTGAGTTCTACAACATTTGATATTACTATAAATTTCTATCATGAAGAAATGAAGCAGTGGTGTAGTGGTAACAAAAAATTTAAGGTGGGTAAACTATATGCACAGCAGTAAAAACAGTGGGTAACTATTCATATCCTTAACATTAGTCATCTCAAAAAAGGTGAGTAAACGCCGTTTTGTAAATTTAAAAGTCGCGTAAACGGCGTTTATGTGTATTTACCCTCCACTACACCACTGAATGAAGGATTTGCATGAATTAATCTGAATAATTGCATAAAATAATCCAAAAACTCCACAGCGTCACATAATGCATCAGTACGTGTCTCTCCGACCTAATTTCAGCTAATTGTCGTCAAATAGGCCTACTACCGTTTCTGGCAGAATTAAAACAAGACTGCTGTGTCCGCCTCCAACATTTTTCAAGCATTTTTTTTCAATTCTTCCAGAATTCATCACGTAAGTTACTCAAGGCACGGCATTGGTTCTCGTCCTCTTTTTCTTTTATGGCAGTCGGCATCCAGCTTAATGGTGCTTTACTGCCACCGCGGCTTTGGTTAGCTTACTGCTCCCAAATTAAGGGGTAACCACTGTAGGCTACTTATATGTATAATAACGTAGACCCAACTATTCGATTATTAAATTAGTTTATTAAAATAAACTATTTTAATAGTCGATTTTAATCGATTAGTTGTTGCAACCCTATATCAATCACTTTTTTGGAGAACAAGAAATTCTTGTTAACCTAATCCATACTTTAAAACTGAAAGGCTCCTGTGCCTGGCTAATTAGTTAAATTATTCTTGTGCTTTTACTGGTTTGTTTCCTTGATTAAAAGACTCATCCAGCTGTTTCACTTTAACATTAGTGACACATGCATGATGATAGGAGACTGACCAATCAGCACACAGCAAGGTCTTTTTAATTGAAAGTAGTTTACAATCCCGGTCTTAGCTCATAGTGTCCCGCCTGACATTGATTAGGTGGTTACCCTCTCTTTTACTCTTAATTTGCATATGTTCTAATGTTAAATTTTATTTTTTGTCTGGAGAACATATACACATGTCCAGATAAGTAGCTTTAAACATTTTTTTTTGACTAGCTAAGAGTTTTGCACAGTACTGTAGCTGCTTATTTCAACCACGGTACTCAAGAAAAAGGATAATCTGTTCTGACACAGACAAAAAGGCTTAACACAATGTATTACAGTCTTACTTCTATCGAGGCATTTATGTTATAGACTTGTTTAAACCTTCTGAGTGATATTGTTCATACGACGGTTGTTATCAGAGTGCTCACAATATTCTGTACTAGAGACAGTCATTGTCTAACAGCCATTGCAGTGCATTTATGAGTGAACAACAATATGAAAATCTAGTTTACACTATGTCCTTCATTTGCATAGCTGTTGATGCTATTGGCTCATGCACCTTTCCCGTACCCTGCAACTGTAGCACAAGTTCACTGTGTTCCGAGGAACACATGTGACTATAACACTTGAAGCCTTGAAACCTTAAAAAGATGTGATTATGACCACAACCTCGTTAACAGCAGTGCTTTCACTGTCAACTCCTTTTCAACTTTTTTTTTAAGCACCTGCTCAGCCTAAAAGTATGGTGGGCAATCTGTCACTTTTTTGTCACAACCAGAAATGTAAGATGTGCTTGCTTTTTAATGTTTAAGAATTTTTTTTGTAACAGATGTTAGAAATTGTTAATAAGCAGCAATATTGATATTCAGTAAAATCAATGTTCACTGTCTTATGACACCCTTATGATTAAAAGTCAAACATTTGGAATTTATATCAACAAGGTAGTCATAAAGTGGCATATTCCTGTAGTTACTAAGGATTACATTTAGAAGATGTTTATAGAATATCAATGCAGTTAAACTTTTTATTTTCAGTTTATTTAAATCATGGTCACTAATTAGAGTGGCAGTAATGATATGAGTGAATTTTACTTCAGTTGAATATATGGTTTGTGTTCATATTGTTTAAAAAAACTCAAAATGGAGGAATATCTAAAATGGTGGATCTTTGTAGTCCTCAAAGCACATCTATTACTTATGAGGAGACGAGTATATATCTTAACGTACTGTGACTTGATAAATCTGTTTGCTCAGGTTCCTTGTTCAACATCCAAATTTATAATTGTTATAGCACCACCATGTGGTTAATATGCAGTTTATTTGTGTACAACACCGATTACATTCCACACCCACCATCTTGCAAAATAACTACAGATGTAACGTGATCAAGCAATATCTATGTCAAATAATCAGGTGCAAATATGCTTAAATGCAGCTTTCCTGAGTAAATATGGTCGGTGGATCAGTTGTTTGGTTTCTTCCTTCCACACCAGCCACATACAATAAACACACCAAAGTAGCAGTGAAGACCATGAAACCAGGTAGCATGTCGGTGGAGGCCTTCCTAGCAGAGGCTAACTTGATGAAGACCCTTCAGCATGACAAACTTGTCCGGCTTCATGCTGTGGTCACCAAGGAGGAGCCCATCTACATAATCACAGAGTTCATGGAGAAAGGTAATCATTTCCTCTTCCTTTCTTCTACACTTTTTTATTTTCGCTGAAAATCTATTAATCTTGCGTTAAAAAATTGAATACCAATATAAAATCAAGAGGTTTCTTAAAATTAACAGAAAATACCAGAAAATACATGTTGCAATTTACGATAATAAATTCCATTACATCAGTTGATTTCATTTAATCAACCAAAGCCACAGATTTCTGACTTGTTAGACTGTCCCCTTAAATCTGAACCATTGTCTGTCATGGTTCTGGACGGCACGGGAACGGGAACGAGGCATGGTGCACAAAGAAAGGGCGGACGACCCACTTGCGGCTCCAGCAAACAAAACAGGGTTTTAATCAAAACAGAAAACACTACAAACACAAAACCAAAAGGACCACGAGGGGTCAAAACTAAACAGGGAGGAATAAACTAGACTAAATAACACACATGGAAAAACTAACTAGAAAAGCAAGACACTAAAGTAAAATCCAACAATGGGGAAAACCAGAGACAAGGGCATACCACAGACAACCGTAGACATCAGAGACACGAGCTTAGACAATGGTTTAGATACGAGACGCGACGCGATGAACCAGCGGGGAACAGAACAAAGGCAGGAACTAATATACTACAAGGGGTAATGACTAACACAAGGCAGGTGAGACTGATTAACAAGGACTAGGGAAACAAGACACAGGTGAAACCAATTAACTCAAAGAAACTATCAGGGAAACTAATAACCAACCAAGGAAACAGAAACTAACACTGGGGAATCTAAACAGGTAAAGACACAAGCAGAAGGCACAAGGAACAAAACCAAAAACCACACACAAAATCACCAAATACAATAACTAGACAAACTTAACTGAAACACTAGGGAGCAAAATACGAAAACAGGAGGCAGGATTCAAACATAGGACAGAAGGGTACTCAGGACAGAAGGGTACACAGACAACCACATGCTCTACACATTGAGCCACAAGACCAGACAGGTGACAGGGGAGAAACAAGGACTGACGTATGGACGGGATGACCAGCACCACCTGCTGGTCAAACGGGGAAGGGGCACGGAAGGACCACAGCGGGAGGCCGACCCTGACATTGTCTTGGTGAAATTCTACAGAACAAAATAAAGTTAAATAAAATACAACTGGGAGGGATAGAACAGATAAATGTGGAACAGTACAAAAAGACAATATGACTCCAAACTGGAATCATGGGAACACAATTCCGGGAGGCAGCAGAAATGTAACCTGGAGTCAAATATACGGGGTGAGGAGGGGAGTCACGGATAGAGCTAGTGGGTTAGAGATTAGAGTGAATTTGTGTCCTCTGGCCTAGCTGGTGTCAGACCCATTGGAAGTTGAATGAGTTATTTCAAGAACTGTTTTGCAATTGTATGAAGCATCTAGTATTTCAGCTTCATTTTCATAATAGTTTGTGCTTTAAAATAATCACATTGTGTTGGGTAATCTATGGAATTATCAGTTCAATTCACATTCTAATCACTCAGTCTAATCACTTTCTTTATCCCCAAGGGGCAATTAAAAAGACACATGGAGTAGCATAGCAACCATTCACACATCACAATAAATATATAAAAAATATATATTTCTGTGTTGTTTTCATCATGATGTTAGGTTTATATCCAGGTGATACTGGAAGGCATGGAAGGCCACAATGCAGTCCTTTAAAACTGAGATTAACATATTTGAGATTGACAGTGTTGATCTCTTTAAAAAGCCTTAAGTTATCAAGTTTTTCTGCCCAATGTGACACTACCTTGAGTGAAAATTTTCATTTTAGGCAGTTTACTGGATTTCCTGAAGAGTAACGAGGGCAACCAAGTCCCGTTCCCTAAACTCATTGACTTTTCAGCCCAGGTAAGTCTTGGGTGAAACCGCATGTGAAAAGTAACATTAACACAAAGCCATATGCTACAGTCCATCCACTTTCAGCGACTGAAATTATTTCTGATTTGTAAGAACCATGCAAAGCCACAGACAGAAGACAGAGGCACACATATCTCCATCTGTATTTAGAGGAGATGATCCAGTATTTGTGAACAGGTAACGTTTTACAATACAGCTCCTTTGCAACTTAGTAATAACTCAGTTACCACACACACAAGTACAAATCACAAACAAATATACAGTAGTTGCTACTTGAGATAAAAGATGCACCATAATTCATTAATGATGAACAAACATGAGATCAGTATTTCACCATTTTTTATTCATTATTTGTTCTTTCAGTAGTTTATAACAGGGGTCTCCAACTCCGGTCCTGGAGAGCTATAATCCAGGAGGTTTTCTATCCCACCTGACTCCTGATGAGCCACACCTGTTCCTGGTATTTACCTGACAACAGGTGTGGCTCATCAGAAGTCAGGAAGGATAGAAAACCTCCTGGATAGTAGCTCTCCAGGACCGGAATTGGACACCCCTGGTTTATAGAATTAAGGGGTCCTCTTGTAGGGAAAAAATGTAGGGGGTTGGTGGTGGGATTGGGACTCCAGCCACCGTAAAACATTTCACAGCAGCTAGGTCCAAACAGCCACAATACCCTTCTGCTCTCTGTGGGAGTAGCTCTGCTGCAGCCACCTGCAGAAAGGCTGCATGCACCATGAAGGGGATGGGGGAAAGCCTTCGGGAGTCTTATCCCTGGATGAGTCAAAGCCGTCGGAGAGCTAATAGGCTCAGGCCTGTTGGGGGTCGGGCTGGTGTGGTGCTGAGGTGTCGCCCACTGCATGGTGGCACTTGGGTCCCAGTTTGAGGCGGCCCATCCAGGTATGTTTTGTCTCAAAGGCAAGATGTCCATCTTCCTCTGCTGTGGGGGGAGCTTTGTAAGCTTTGTCAGATCTCTGTAGGTAGATACAACTACTTTTAGTCTAGTCGCTCTGATGGCTGCTATACTTGGGGAGTAGCTGTCGGCTCCTCCCGATGGTGTCTGATTTCACTCCTTTCAATGAGCGTATCAATTTCTGTGGGGAAAATGTCTTTACGCCTCCCTCAACTTGCCCTTTGTAGAACACCCTGGCCTACCAGCGACTGGAGCAGTCTGGTTTTACACCTAAGACGTCTACCATTGACCACATCCTGACATTGAGGGTTCTCATCGAGAACAAGCGCAAATATCGGGAGAGGTTTTTTACAGTCTTTGTCGATTTTCGTAAAGCATTTGACTCGGTTGATCGAGTTGCCCTGTGGGCATCCTGAGACTTTGCGGGATCCCCCGATATCATGGATATCATGGCTGGCCTGTACACTGGCATTGTGAGTGAAGAGTGGAGGGAGAACCTCCGCGTTCTTCCCAGTTGATTCTGGGGTTTGCCAGGTGTATGTTATTGCTCCTACTCTATTCAATGCATGGACTGGGTGTTGGGCAGGGTCATGGGGTCCAGCAGCTGTGGGGCGTCTTTTGGTGAAGAAATATTTACTGATCTTGACTTTATTAACGATGTTGTGATCTTTGCGTAGCCAATGGAGGCTCTGACATGTCTGAGTGTCTGGAATTGTGAGTGTCCTGGATAAAACCCAAGGTCCAGCCCATTAATCACTTCTTAGGCACAGCCATCAGTAGTGTGTCTGTCTGTGGGGAGAATGTCAACCTTGTAGAGAGATTCACTTACCTCGACATTCATGTCTCTGGTGACTATTCCTATGAAGTCAGTAGACCAGGGGTGGTCAATCTCATCTCTAGAGGACTGATTAGCTAAAGAGTCCTCACACCTGGGTTTGAACAGCTGACCTAAAGGTTACCCCAAAAACCTGCATACACACTGGCCCGTTGCAGATAAGATTGGCCACCGCTTCAGTAGATGGATTGGAAGAGCATGGGGGAACTGAGTAGACTGGAAAGGGGTGTGTGGTGTTCCTGATATCTTTGCAAGAGGACAAAGGTCCAAGTCTTTAGAGTCCTGGTGCTCCCTGTTTTGTTGTATGGCTGTGAGACATGGATGCTATCCAGTGAGCTGAGATGAAAACTGGACTCTTTTGGTACTGTGTCTCTTCGGAGAATCCTTGGGTACCGCTGGTTTGACTTTGTGTCGAATGAACGGTTGCTAGAGGAGTCCGGAGGCACATTACCTGCATGGTGAGGGAACATCCGCTACACCACTACGGCCATGTGGTGTATTTCCCTGAGGGTGATTCAGTTTGCAGGATCCTCATTGCTGAGGACCCGAGTGGCTGGACCAAGCCAAGGGGATGCAGTGGCAGATGGATGGTCATTTACGGAGGGTGGGACTGGACCGTGTATCTGCCTGGGGGGGTCGCCAACCGGGATCCCGAGGAGTTTCGCTGTGTGGTGGGTGCGGCAATGCGCTGCATCAGCACATGCTCCCCAACCTGACCTGACCTGACCTGATAGAATTAACAGATATTTTAAATATAATAACTGCATGAAATAAAAGATCCATTATGATTTATTAATGATGAATGAACATAATGTTAATATATAAGTACATTAATTAACAAAACTAATAGATAAGTAGTGGTAAGTTCCCATATCTCTTTTTTTTTCTAGAGCAAACCTTCTTATTGGTTAGAATCATATCTACCAATATCTAGTAGGTGGATAATGATTATTTACACCATAAGGCAATGTATCTGTTAACACTGTGCTCAATGAGGTGCTGCTAAGTACATAATCAACAATTTGCATGTAACTAAGTCTATATTTGATTAATTGATACATTAACTGTTGGTTCACGGTTAAGAGCATTAAAGTATTATTTGTGCCCCTTCAAGTAAAGTGTTACCTGTGAACGCAACAACCATGAACCATAGCATTACATCATTGTACATGGTTACACAATAGTTGCTTTTTAAACAAGGTGGGACTGTAATCTAAATAAGCATCTTTATATTCATGTGTCTCTTTTATAAGGGTTCAATTGCCTATGAATATGTGTGTGTTTCTGTTATAGCTAGTTAGTCCTTTATTTTGAAGTTGCTTAGCTAATAAAAAGTATTACAACAAAGAAAAACGATGTTGAAGGCACAGTTAAATTCATGAGAATCATCCACCCAAAAAAAGAATTTAAAAAAGACCTGGTAAGTGAAGTGGTGTCTTTAAATTGCCCATAACATGTAATCATGTATGTGTGTATGGGCCCTGTGATTCCCTTGTGTTGATACCTGAAGTCCCTAAATGGGGGAAAAAAATCCACACACACAGAAAATATACTACTGTATGGTTCTTACCTGCAGAGGTGGAAATTTCAGGTCCAGAAAGTAAAAATCCAGACCATGATTTACTTTCAACCAACCAGTTGAGTACTTTGTGACTGTGACACTTTATGCTCAACTGGTTGGTTGAAAGTAAATCATGGTCTGGATTTTTACTTTCTAGACCTGAAATTGCCACCTCTGCCAATCTAAATAGCAGTTTACTAAGAGAATACTCCAGCCTGCACACACTGACACGGAAAACCTCGATAGAATAAATGTAGAACATTAATCTCTGGTAAAATCTTCAGATAAAATTTATTTTGTGAGAAAACAATACACAATGGTAAAAGAATATTCTGTTTGAGAATCTTTGGTGGCCCTGACAGCAATATTTTTCCTATGAAACTGCTCTGTCTTATTTAAATAGACCACTGCCTGGTCAGAGTCTGTAGCTTATTTAAGTTCATTCAGCAATTAGTTTTTTATAAGTAGACCTCATGTACTGTAAAACAGAAATATTGTGAAAAATTAGTAATAACTAACTTAATCAGCACTTTCTCGTGCCATTAGGTAGTCTACAGATGGTTTTTAATCTACGGTATAGTATTTAAACATATTGTGGCTTTTGCTGTGGTTGCCCTTTCAGGTCATATTCAAGTCTTCTTCTAGGTGTGTTCTCAGTAGCGTTCCATTTACATTTTAAGCAACTATGTACATGTGTTATTTTCCATGTACTGGAAGAAAAGTTGAATTATGAGTATTTTTGTAAATTACTGTATTTTCATCTCTTTTCTCAGATCGCAGAAGGTATGGCCTACATTGAAAAGTGCAACTACATCCACAGAGATCTGCGAGCTGCCAATATCTTGGTCTCCAAATCCTTAGTGTGCAAGATTGCAGATTTTGGGCTGGCCCGCATCATAGAGGACAATGAGTACACTGCTAGAGAAGGTGATTTGAGAGTCATCGCTAGGTCTGCCGTGGAGCACTGATGTGTAGTTTGTCCCAAAATGGCCACCGTCATTGCCTTATCCATCCATCTTCTAACTGCTTATTCTTGTCAGGGTTGTGGGTCATTTTATTATGCATCATTCAAAACCTTGAGGCTTTATTTATGTTATATAAACAAATATGAAAATATACTAGATGTTTATCTAGGTTTAAATTGATTCTCATATGATGGCATCAGGCAATCTCATAATACTAATATGGAAATATTTGCAAGTAATGTGGAAATTAGTGGTAGATATATGAGATGTGTTGTGACCGATGGGCGAGCAGGGGAATTTCGGAGCGGAGAATCAGGGTCGGGAAGTCAGGATCGAGGGATTTATTCAGGGAAACCGGCAAGACCAGGTACAATACGGTAGACAACGTCAATGACCAGACTGGGGAAACAGACTACAATGCGGACTTAAATACACAAGACTGATTGGAAAGAACAAGAAACAGCTGATGACATCGGGATTTCACACGAGGTTAACGAGGGGGGCGTGTCTCACGGAAGGATCGTACGAGCAGGTCATGACAATATGCATTTTTTAAAAATTATTATTATTATTATTATTATAGTTACATTTAAGTGATGTTACATTATATTGGGATCCTTTTATGCTAAGAGTGAAACAACCTTTGAAGGCCTGTACCAACAATAACATCCACTGGCTATTTTTACTTACAGGTGCAAAGTTCCCTATTAAGTGGACTGCTCCAGAGGCAATCAACTATGGGTCCTTCACCATCAAGTCTGACATCTGGTCTTTTGGCGTCCTTCTTACTGAGACCATCACTTACGGCCGCACACCTTACCCAGGTCAGTAGAGGGTCGACAAAGCTAACTTCATTGAAATCAGATGTAGTGTGTGCACTAAATCCTGGTTACTTATCAGAATGTTAAACCTTATTCACTGCACCTCTGGCATTTCCTTCCAAATGTATCGGTACCTGCTTTGTATGTGGAACCCAGGAATGACAAACCCAGAGGTGATCCGCTCCCTGGAGAGAGGGTACCGCATGCAGCGCACAGACAACTGTCCCAAGGAGTTGTATGACATCATGCTGGAGTGTTGGAAGAACAAGCCGGAGGACCGGCCCACCTTCGAGTACCTCCAGAGTGTTTTGGAAGATTTCTACACGGCAACGGAAAGCCAGTACCAGCAGCAGCCATGAAGCTGATGTGCACAACCAGTTGGGTCTCATATGGACATATGGACAGAACACACACACATACACTTATTCCCTTATATTTTACATGCAAAATCAAATGTGGGATGTTACAGATAAGTGACATGTCTAAGCTCTATATATTCCAAATATATAGTAAAGTGCAAAAATCTTCAAACAAAAAAGATGTTTAAAACTATCGATCTGGTTAGTAACTCTATGCAAAATTCTAATTCTAAAAAACACGGTTTAACAGAGTGCATGCAAATGATCAGCAACGCAGTAACAATAAGGATTCCTTCTGTTCTTCAAGAATGTACTGATATCCAGTAGGAAGAACAGTTCCCAAATCTCTTCCTCAGGGGCACCTCAGCCATTCCATGTATTTGATACTGCAAATAGTACGGTGACTTTCAAAGAGGTTTTGAAATGGCCAAGCTAACACACTTTGACAGACATCATAGCTTGTTATCACTTTACAGTATGACTTCCTTTTGCTACATATAAATGGTAGTAACTCATTAATTTTAAAAAAACATAACTTGTTTATAATTGTCTATTAATAATTTACAAAGTGTTACGACCTACCTAATAACCTCATTATAAACCATTCATAAAGCTTTTATAAGGGTAGGTTTATTGTAAAGTACCCATAGTGAGTAGTGTCATTTGGATTATTTAATTAGGAGAGTACATTCAAAATACGTCAGTGGGATATCTGGGGAGTGTAGCATACCCATTAATTTTTTTGGCTAATCAGCACTTTAGGAATTAACTGCATTTTACCTTTTTCTTTATTGTACTGGTTTTGTTCATCAGTCATTTGAGGATACACGTTTTACTTTGATTAAATCAAACCATAATCTGTGTAGTTTTACATGGTACTGTATATATTTATGTTTCTGCATTGCATATTCAGTTAGTCAAGCATCTTAAAGACTCAGATACTTCTGTACTCTCTATATCGGGGCTATTCAATTCAGGCCCTCGATTCCAAATCCAGGCCTTGTTTTCAGTTCTCCCAGGTAGTTAGTTTAATAATTACTGATTCTGATTGGTCAGAGGCTTCACACCTGGCTCACAGGTGAAGGAAGGCTGGAAAATCAGCAGGGTTCAGCCCTTGAGGACTGTGAGTTGAATAGCCCTGCTCTATATCATGTTTCTGTGATGAAATACATTGTGCGTCACAGCAGGCCAGCCCAAGTGAGTATTATTTCAAGGTGATATAGTTATTTAAGAGTTTTACAGCCTATATTAGGCTTCAAAGTCATGTCCCATTACAATAAACTATAATGTGAGCTGAGTGAGCCAGGGTCAAGCGCTGATGCCCTTATATTGCAATCTTTCTTATATTAATAAATGGAAAATAAAAGATCATGCCATTGTTCAGTTTCCAGCTGAGAAACAGGATTTTTGTGCTCTTTTTGACTTCATGTGCACTTGAGTACTGTGTGATATTGTCCGTATTTTATAATAATATAACGGTTGAAAGGTGCTTCTGATTTATTTGATGGAAATGTAACATTTTCTCTCCACAACCCTACACTGGATAAGTGGTTGGTAGATTAATAGATGTACTGTCTTCTTGTTTTTGCTTTTGAAAAAATTATATAATATATTTAAATATGATGTTTGTCTTGTTATTCCCCACTCAATATTACATACTTTAGTTCTGGATAAATAAATTTGGAAACTATAAAATCTATATTTCTCTTTCCCTGTTTCAGTTTTAAATATTTTTTTCTGAAAAACATTACATATATTTATATAAATACATTCAGTTCAAAGTAATAAGTATGCTGTATAAGGTTTTAATATGGCAATTCAATAATAATGAGAGGTGTTTATTTTGATATAAAGTCTATATTTCTGCCTGTATATATTTTCATTCTCTGGTTTCCTTGAAATGTGTTTACCCTTATGATACTTTGTACCATGATTTGCATGTTTTAACTGAAATAAAATAACCATAACAAACATATTTTGACATATTGAAATATAGCAGGCCCCAAATTAAGTACACATATATGGAGCCGAGTTTGAATAAACAGAGGTTAGAACGGATGTTGGAATCTAAATAATAATAACAATAATAAAAATGTTACACTACCTTTGATATGCAATATGCCATTGAAAGTATATTAATGTTTAAATTTTAAACAAAGTCATTGAAATAGATGATCCACAATTCAGCCCGGACAGAGTGGTAGCCGTCTGATAACAGCTGGCAGAAGTGATATAGATACAAGTAGTAAAAATATATACAGTATTGTACAAAAGGCTATTTAACTGGGCAGAAAGTTTATATTAGCTCAGAAAAAAATACCATTTAACATTTGACAGAATGCAACACAATAACAATGCAACAGTAACACAATAAAAAAACGAATTTGCTCGATTCTCCAAAAAGTTACTGATACCTTGTTGGATGACTAGAATACTGCTTGTTTTGCAAACCAGCTCAGCCATTCCATGTATTTGTTTAATTTCACCACCAGCTCAACTAATTCATTAACTTAACTACTTAATTGATTACCCCAAAAAGGGTGGGGTAGTGGTCAAATCAAAAAATACTTGGGTGTATGAGATGGTTGCTGCAAATATTGGGGTGACTTTAGTAGAGGTTTTGAAATGGCTGACACACTTTGATAGTGTCATAGTTTTAAACCAACATGAAGATCATTAATATAAACATCATTTTCATTGAGTGCCTAAGACTTCTGCACAGTACTGTATGTGTGTGTGTACATAATCAATTTCTCCAAATAATGTTTGGCACTAATCTTCAATTTACAACATTTTCAATGATGCCTGCACAATACTCTATATAATAACATTATTATATTAATGTTGGAGGAGTAATATAGTTATACAACATTTTAATGGCATTTTATTTTTAAAGTACCAGGTTAATGCTTTAATACACTAATCAATACTATGGAGTTGAGAAGCTTGCTCCTTTCAGCCCTCGCGCACGGGGGGACGCGACTTCCCCTGACGTCACCAGTGACACGTGTATTCAAGATGGCGGCAGCAGTGGTATGTACTGATCATAAAATAATTCGATTTTATTCTATAGCTGTACCTTTTTCGGCCGAGTACATAATTTATCTGTTTTGTTGTGTTGCGGACACAATAGTTTAACCGTAGTCCACGTCATATGGCTCAAGTTGTACATTCTTGTATGGTATATCCATGTAAAGTATCCGTGTGCTTCCTGTGTTGGTTCGGCTGGTGTTGACGTTAGGTACTTCGAGCAGATGGATAGTTAGCCGTCAAATGTACACAATAGCATCGTAACACAATTTATAGTTCCTCCGCGTGATTTAAAACATGTATAGATGCTGTAAAGTTTTGCCTACCATATCATTAAATATTAAACCTCTTGTTAACTTGGTTAGAGCTGTATTCCAGTACAGCTAGCGTATTAGCGTCATGGGTTAGCAACAGGAGTAACATTAGCCGATTCGACAATTGTGACATTCATTTAAAAATAACATAAGCATAATGATTTCTGCGTGTTTTAGTTAATTCACTTAGTTGGACTGCTTGTTAAATGAGTAGTGTCATTCGGATTATTTAATTAGTTGCAGTACGTCCATTCAAAGTACGTCAGCGGGATATCCGGGTAGTCTAGCATACCCATTCATTTTTTGACTATCAGCACTTCAGGAATTATTCAAGTAGGACTCCATATTATTTTCTTTATTTTCCTAGTCTTGTTCAGTCATTTTAGAATACACGGTTTGCTTCTTGATTAAATCAAATCATAATCTACTTTCAGAATTGATGGCAGTGTAGTTTTATTGCGTTATTTAAATTTGATTGTAACTGCATGAACCTGATCGTTCGAACCTGTCCCGGTATATTTTCTCTCGTCGTAACGAGTGTAGTTATGTATGTCATTGCTGTAAGCAGCATCGATGTGTAGCACCTGTGGCATTTGTAAAATTATCAGTAAGAGACTCTCCGGTCTCTGTACCGAATGAATAAACCTTCCGGTGCTTTTAAAACCTGCCTTTGTGTTGATGTAAGTGTCATTCTGTCACATTTTATTATCTCTTCCGGTTTTTAGTGCTCTACCTGGATAGCGTAGTATCTCAGAAGATTCTTAAATGCTGGATGTGATTTAGGTCTTTGAAGCACTTTGAAGTTACTGTAACAAGTGTGTCACTGAAAACGTAAAATAATACATAATTTTTAACTTGCATAGCTGGGTTTCTAGGGTATTGCCCTTAGTGAAATATCATTCCAGATGTTGCAAGCTGTTAGGATGTATGTCTTTGTGTTAATTTCATTTCCTCTGACGATCATATTTAATTTCTCAGCTTGTTATATGATGTAACTTTGCTAATATCACAGTATATCATTCAAACACTTGTGAAAATACTGAACTTCTTTATAATACAATGGCAGTGCTGTAGTTATCGGTATATTACATCTTTGTATTGAATACATGAGCTGTAGTCATGACTGCCCTTCAAAAATAGTGAAATACAGCATAATTTTTGCTAAACTCATCTCTTCTTGAGCTCAAAGTTCTGTTGCATGCCAGTAAAACCAAGTTGCAGTGCACTATTTGGAAGATGCTGTAAGTGTACACACCATTTACCTTAGGTTTTTGATTCAGTCCAGTGGTCCATGAGACTAGTCGGATTGCTGTCTAATTGAACCTAGGGTAGTCTATTTGTCTTAATTATTCTTTACTTTACACATTTGGAATGTGCTGCACTGAATTTCCACATTCCTTTGCATGATGTCATGCTATCCGTTGCTGAGGTGTACAGTGCAGTATACAGACAAAGCAGAGCTCTGTTTCCATGGACCTGAAAGCAGATCACAGATGGTACTGAACATAAAACCAACAACCCAAAGACAATGCAGAGAAGAAAAGAATAATTTCAATTAAATCATTAATTAAATAAAATTTTAAACCACAAATATAACAGCAATGGGGTAGAAGTTGCTCCAAAGTCAAGCTGAACTGGCTCGGATGCTGCCATACCTTCTGCCAGATGGTACATATCTATACCATATTTATTTTTACAGATACATCCATATCTCCATATCCAAGTTTATATTTATATATTCATATTTATAGTTAGTTATTTGCTTAAGTATTTTCCCCTGTAGACTGTAGAGATCTCTAGTCTTGTGGTCTTGTTACCCTATGCTAAATTACCCTGTCTGCTGGAAACACGCAAGTAAGTGTCTCACTGTAGTCAGTATTTGTTACTTGTATGAGTGACAATAAACCTTTTGAAATTAGGCATGTAAAGCGTTGCCTGAACAGCAGTTTGATTCAATTACGACTATTGAGGGAATGGTGTTTCTATCATGATTTGATTTGATTAATTTATTATTCAGTTATTTTTGATCTAAATTGAAACCTTTTTTTAATTTCACAGAAAAAAATCACAAATATTACCATTACAACTTAATTACACATTATTCTTGTATTACTTAGAAAATAGAATCTCGGAACGTTGATTTTTATTGTTGATATTCAACAGGGAGAACAAGCTAGTGTAAATTATCAAAAAGACAATTACTGAACTAAACAGAAAAAAGCAGGTAAGTAAGCTATACCTGACTGGGGGGGAGTTTGCCAATGGTGAAGCTTGCTGGTGCAAGTTATGGCAACAACGTTACATCATTTTGTATTCTGTGAGAGATGAAAGATTTAATAAGGTTGCAAGCCGGTACTTTGAGACCACTTCTAAGAGCGTACTCACACTTGTGCTTAACGTTTCGGGCCCAAGCATGCTTTAGTCATCACCATAACCTGATCAGTTCCTGAAGAACACATAGGAAGAAAAGCACTATCGCACATCGCAAAAAAAATCAACTTTATCAACATTATTAACGTACTTATTTTGTGGCTTATTTGGAATCAGTTTCAGCCCTGTTATAGATTTATCGAGTATGCCACGCAGAGATTTTCATTTAATGATGTCTCATATAAGAAGAGAGTCCTGTATTTTACCAAATATTTGGGATTTTTGTGTGTTTCACCCAGTTCCTGGATTCTCTTGTCAACCCAAATTTCCAGCAAACACCGCACCTCTGCTGTAGACCAGAGTGATCCCTTTGCTACCATCTGTTGTCGCTACCCGATCTGTACAGCCTCCTAGTTTGCATTCTTGCTATTGAGAAACACCCCTAATGTGATTTCTTATTATGCCCAAGCACGGAACACAGACATAACATCAGTGATGGAACTGGCACACACATGTACATTATACGTGAAATGGACCCGGAAGGAACAGATTGATTAGGCTGTACAAACAGTGCCTGTGCCCACCTCCTCAGCATACCATGCACTTAGTGATCATATTAGTCAAACTGAACTTTGGGAGTCATACTGTATGTGCTCAGGCATGGTACGGATAGCCTAGTGTGAGTAAACCCTAAGTTTTAAATTACCTGATGAAATCCCTTGTCCTCCACGATGGAAAATGGCTGATCATCCAATGCAATTATCTCCATTGTTGCAGTAGTTGTGTCTTTAGCTTTGGTGCTCCTAACATTAAATATTGATAATGTTTATTGGCTAAGACTGACACATTGTGCGGTTATATATAACTCTTAAGCTAACATAGCTAACTAGCTAAGGAAAAAGTAATCTCAGAGCCATTGCTATTTTAGCTAGCAAGAATTACTTTTTTATGCTACAAAAGAGAAGCGTTTCCCAAAATCATGGTAGCACTAAGATTATCTTAACCTTCAGAGGGAGCGTTCTGTGCTACAAAAAAGGGACAAATTACCCAAAAGTGTTGTAGCTCAAAGATCATCAGGTAGCCCTCCCTTTATAAATATTTACTAACTTTCCCTGTCATTCTACATTTTTGAATTCGCATGCTAGCAGTGCTGCTTTACGTGTCTACCTGCAGCATGTGAACGCAAGAGCACACAACCTGGAAGTAGAAATTGCTTTATCTGTAAGGAGGATTTTTCCCCAAAAAATTGATGCAATGGA